CTTAAACAATAAATACCCTGGAGGTATTTAAAAGATGTGTCAATCTGGCACCGAGAGACATGGTGTAGAGGTGGACTTGGCAGCATGAGGTGCACAGTTAGACTCGAGGATCTTAAAGCTCTTTTCCAACCTAAACAATTCTGTGATGCTAAATACCTTCAACAGTCAGCTCTCTCTATCGAAAACAAGGTTTAAAATATTTATTTCTTCTTCACTACTGGTTCAAGACCACTTACCAAGTCTGAATACTGAGCTGACTTTAGAAGGTAACAGTTCTGTGACCACACTTAGTAAGGTGTGAGCACGCTCTTAAACACAAAACCAAACAAGAAACATTCTGGCTGTGTATTCACTATCTTACTATATCCACATTAAAGTAATACAAAGTAACAGCCTTTTAAAGAGTATATTTTATACCATTCCTGAAAAAAAATTGTTGATCTTATATTAACATACTTGCCTGTATTTTTGGAATATTGTTGTTTCTTTTGGACAGAAAAAGTACATTTGGTTTAGCGTTTCATAATGTAATGTTCAGATAGATCAAACTGAAAAAAACCCATCCTGTGCATTATTTGGCCCCACTTGGTTTCTTACACTGTTCTTTTCCCCCAAATCTCTTTGATCTAAAGCAACCTTCTGATAAAGGCTGGCAGTTATGGGTTTGGGTTGGTTTTTCCAAGTGTTATTTGACCACAGATTTCACCACCACTCCTTATTATTAATTCTCTATTGTCTTTTACCATGCATAATCATCTTTTAAATAGATTCATAGATATAAAAATATATAGATATATTTACATAGAAACATGTAAATGCAAACATAGCCATGGACAACTCTAAGTACATTTTTATGCATCCCTGAAACTCTATGTCATTACAAAAAAATAAGAAAAGTAAATTGTTTTTTTTTTTAACCATCATCAAACAAAAGCTTTCTAGGACCAAGGCACTAAAAGCAGTGAGGATATATAGAAAATTCATTCTATTCTTTCAAAATTCATAATCAAAACATCCTAATCAGGTGGATAAGCAACACACTATCCAGGATAGAAAAACTTTAGAGTGGACAAACACGTTATGGCAACCTCTGCATGACACGCTGATCCCCCCTGATGTTAAGAACTGCAAAAACTCTTCCAACACTAGAGGTCACCTGTTTCTCCAGCTTTAATTTTCACATTATGCCACTTAAAAATTGTACAAGTGTTGTCTTTAAATGAAATACAAACTGCAGTCTTCCTACAGTGCACTAAAAAATTAGTTGTATCTTTTGCTGCAATCACTTACAGCTCATAGGCCAGGGCAGAAAATGCCACTGTAAATGCACTCCCAAAGGTAAATAAATTGAGGTAGTTGATAGTTATAAATATCTCCTCACAGAATATTTTACAATTTATATCCACTATGAGCTTTATAGCATCTTTGAACTCTTTTAACGCACTTTCACTTTTACTATATTTCAATTTTATGTTGAGAAGTTTTGCGCAGAGCCTCATGTTTTTCCCTGGAATATTCACTTACCATAAGACTTAGAAAACCAGCTTGTTTTTTAGCAGATATTGTGGCAGAGTAAAAAAATTGTGATTTGCATCCTTTAAAGCCTTCACCACCTATTTGGGGTTCATTTTCTGATTCCCAAGGAGTTTCATTAGCAAAGAGAAAGTACTTTACCTGATTTCTGCATCTGCCCAGCTCATTTTAGCTTTTGTCGGGACGATCAAGAAAAGCAAAAACCCTACCAGGAACAAATTTAAAATAAAAAGAGTGAAACCAATGAATGACAGTTTGGGAGTTATTTCATCAGCTGTTTTGCAGCTCCAGAGGGTGTTATTTTTAAACTAGGCATTAAGTTTCCCGAATAGGCAAAACCATCTGGCTGTTACTAGCATTTATAACATACAGATACCTGTTTTGGAAATATCAAGTTTCCTGAAAGGACCTGAGAATAGGTGTAAACTCAAGAGATAACGAATGACACGTGGTATGAGATGACAACCACACAGTCACACATCTGTATTGGTCAGAGACGTGTTTGAGGGAAGATTAACTTCATTTGAGATGCTTACTTATATTTGAGAAAAAATTGCAAGGTAATTTTTGTGTGCTTTCTTACAGAAAATCAGTCCAGGGTTCGTATTTTCCCTTGTTACAAATCAACTCTGAAGTTCAGGAGATGAAGGTGGCATTTCCTCTCTGTCCACTGAATTACTACGATGCCACAGTTCATATTTGCCATTGCAAGATGGGTCTCCAAAACTGACATTTTCTGGTACCAGCTCCCAAATGTCCCGTGCAAATTCGAGAACCACTGGGGTGTTACCTCATAGTGTCCTGAGCCCTGGACTGGAGCAAGAGCAGCCAGGAGATGGGTGAAGTTAGGACTGGAATAAGTAGATATTAAATGTATAAATTACTAATTACACAGTTAGCATGGTTAGAAACAGGTAAACTAAGTAACAGAAAAAAACCAGTTACTATTAGTTACTGTTACATACTGGAACTCAGCTCTAGAAAGTGAATTTCATTCCGTTGCATTTCATTCAGCTAGAAAAGAGCTGAGAGATTTAAACAGCTCGTACCTTGGAATCTAATCCACAGCTAAAATCTAAACTTGTATTTAAACTTGTGTATGGCTTGTGTTGAAGGGAATCTTGTCATGGGAATGTAAATCCTTATTTAACTATTTTCTCCCCAAGGTCAGGCACACAGCAATTGGCAGCAGTCCTCCAGGGACTTCTCAAGAGAAGTTTGAGAAGAGTCTGGCTCTGCTCCTGTTAGCGTCGTTAGTCCTAGGCTGGCTTTTGAGAGTAAAAGGACAAAACCATCAAATCATCTTTTGGAGGGAATTTCTTGTACTGTCTAAATAGGCCATTAGGACCTATCTTGTTAAGAGAGACATTGTCTTCTCTGCTATCTCAGCAGACACAGCCAGCTGTGAAGTGATGGACAATTTTTTAGTTACAACGTAGGTATTCAAAGCCCATTTATTTGGAGTGGGCATGAGCTGCTCTACAGAAAACAAAGGCAGAGCAGTTACCTTCTGGTGGATTGGGGCTCTAACTCATAAGCCCGAGAAGCTGCAGAGGATGCTTCCCCACTCAATGCTCATTATCTAAATGAGAGAAGATGGTGTGGCCCCTCATAACTGTAAGAAACAGCTGCAATTAAAAACGGAGTGTTTTCTCAGAGTAATCACCTTCAGCACCATTTTCTGCTGTTCTGGAAAAAGTCCTGGCCTCTGCCTTAAGACTTCAGTTTATCATTAGGCTAGAAATTACTGCTTTGAATGATATTGAAGAAAATTTAGAGAGAGAAAGGAGGTACAGCCCCTTATACGCACTTGATTCTATTATAGAAGTAGGAAACCAGAAAAAAATCCACAGATGTGAACTCAAAAACTGGTGGGGCTCACCTGGAGGAAGGGTATTTCCATCCAAAGCCTCAAAAGGTTCAAGCATTCCCCAATTTCCTCCTCCTATCCACGTGTCACAGCTGAGGCTACCGAGCCAAAACAAGGAGAACTCGCTGTATTGATGCAATCAGGATGGGCAGGAGGGAAAACTCACAGTTCAGTGAGATGCGAAGGTGGAAGCTGAGCAGCCGTGGGGCGGAATGGGCAGGTTTGGAGCAGAATGGGCAGGTTTGGGGCAGAATGGCCAAGTTTGGAGCCAAAACCTTCCTTCAGATGGATCAAAGAGCAAACAAGATGCCACAAGCACATAAACGATCTCTCGAGGAGTTGGATGTCAAGGAAAAGGAGAGTTCTCCAGACAGAAATATCCTCTGCAACATAAAATACACAGATTAACACAACGGCACGTACAGCAACGCTCTCCCAACACGTGTACCTTGATACTATGTTTAGTATTTCATTTTCTCTGGATGTTGCCATTTATCACTTCTCAGAAACCAAGGGGGATACTTCTAGGAAGCAGCCAGAAGGGGGTGACGGAGCATTAGGTTCAGGAAAGGTGGAGTTTTGGAGTCTGTTTTGCAATTCGGTAGAGTTAGAGCCACCAACCAAGTGCAAAGGGAAAGAGACCACCCTTTTGTAGGGTGAGAGGGAAATGGAGAAGTTCCTCAGCCTGCTGGGAGTTAATATATAGATCTAATAGAACAGGTACAATTCCCAAAAATTCTTGAAAATTGACAGCACAGAACTACTGCTTCAGCTGCTGTGACAAGATGCATGAAGCTACATGACCTGAAAGTTGGGAATACTGTGATAAATCAATTAAATATTTTGGGTAAAGATGACTCTCACATCTGGAAGGCTTAAATCACAGCTGGAGGAGGACTCCTCAGTCCTATAGCAATAACCAGCACCACGTGCTGGCTCTAATCACATACAAGGCCTGGAGGTTGCTGCTATTTCCAGAGGAACAGATCATCCACTGGTTGTGATCAGTGGAAAGCAAACACAGGTGGGAAGCAACAAAGCTAATTTCAAAATATTACTAAAATATACACACTAGGATTGAAGTCTAGAAAAAAAATAAAGTGCATTATAATCAGATACCGTGCCCAAAGCATTTAAGACTATGAATATGGACAAACCACATTCCACATATTAAAAAAACCCAAACAATTAACTTAAGAATTGCTGACAAGAACATCCAAACAACACAGAACTGCCCAGGCTGAAGGGACTTTTCAGATCCAACCATCAACCCAACACCAGCAAAAACCAACACAAAGCCATGTTCCTCAGCACCACCCAACTGTCCTTCTGCAGACACCTGTACCTCCTCATAAATGACATAAAAAAATAGGCTTTGAATTCTGGTCTTAATACCACACAATAATTAGATGCCCAAGGTGAATTTTCTCCCTTTCTGCATTTAAGACAGTAAGAGGAAGCTGCAGAAGAACCAGGGTACATTCTCAAAACAGTGCTTTGTGGTTAGAAAGAATAAATCCTTGAAATAATGCTTGTTAGAGGACATTAATTACACATCCTTAACTGTTCTTAAGAACAGAAAACACACAAAGTCCCAAACTGTTAACAATTTTAATGACTTACAAATCTGCACTTCTAAGTACAACAAACTTAAGTTGATTTTTTTTTTAAAATTATCAAAATCTCAGCATATTTCTGCTAATACATCTATAGGTTTTTAAAGAATATTTACAGAACTGCAAATAAAAAAAAAAAAAGACTTAAGCACATGAAAATTTAAGCAGAAAATAGCTTACAATTAAAGTGGCAGTAAAGCAATATGGCTTCCTGACTGCTGCACTGATTAACAGAGAAAGAGGGATAAAAACTGTTACAAAAAGATTTATGTTTGCTGTTTTGGACAAGCACCCTGTGGTTTAGAGCCCACATAGACAAATCTATTCAAACAAATATCTATGCTGTATCTGTAAACACATGAGCAAACATGTATTGCTATCTGCTGCTGGATTTTGCAGTGATTGCTTTACAAAATCTGAGTGCAAATCAATTCACATTTAAAACCCTGCAATTTAAGTTACTGAATTGATTTAAAAACTGGTTCTGTGACTGTTAGGACTATTTTCTTGTTCTTGCACTTGCTCTCGTGGTGGATCTCGTCCTCCTGTCCGTCCCTCCAACACTCACAGCCTCTTCACAGAGTTCTTTAGTTCTGTTTCTTCTTCCTCTTTGCAGCGATTTATTTTCAGCATTCTCTATTTGTACACAAACACACACAAAAATTAACTGTAAATTTGGATCATAAATCAAACATTTTATACAAAATTCAATCCTCTGTTAGATTGTTTTTAAAGGCAATGTCCCTTCTGACTACATTCCAAAGATTACATCTATGAATTCACCAAACCAGTTACAAACCCCATCCTTATGCACATCCAATATCCTTTAAGAGAGATCCCCGAGGACTTACAGCTATTTCTGAAAGTAGGTTAACATTAATGAGAGCACCAAACCCAATTAGCTACCATTTTAGCTAAAATTCTTTCTACTGCTCTGGAAAACTAAAACATGGTCAACATCGAAGAAATATCCTGCCAAAAGGTAAATATAACAACTGTTTTATGGTCCAGATAAAGCTGGAAAGCCAGGCTGTTCCCCCTAAGTATCTGCGTAGCGCAGAAAAGTTATCGAAGAAATATCCTGCCAAAAGGTAAATACAGCAACTGTTTTATGGTCCAGATAAAGCTGAAAAGCCAGGCTGTTCCCCCTAAGTGTCTGCTCCAAGAGAGAAGCATCAACCCGAGCACTAGACATAGATATTGCCACTAAATTCCATATGGGGTGAGGTGAGCTCCCCAAAAAGAAGCCATCCAGGCAGGCAGTACAGCATCAGAAGGAATCAAGCATTTGGCAAGTCAATAGATTCCCTTTCAGGAAACAGGAAACAGCAAACATGTAAAGGGAAATGAAAGCAAATTCAATAAATGAAGATACGTGGCAAAACAGATGTATGTGTTATACGAGGATAAGCATATGTGATAAAAAAAGGGAAAGAGACATGGACCAAAGGGCATGGACAAACCACAATCAAAGTTTTTAACAAGATTTGGCAGGAAATCCCTCAATATGTAGCTCTAAAGAGTCATTGTTATCTGATTTACCTATTTATTTGATAATATTTTCTATTTGTGTCATGGTAGTTTTTAAGTTGTCTCACATCAAGCTGAAAATTCCAGGGACCATTTCTGATGGCTGCAGCAAGAGTTCTATTGGTTTGGGGAAAGCAGAACAGGAAAGGAGGAAGTGGGGGACACAAGGAACTTTTGCTGTCTTTTTAGCTCAAATACAACTTCAAGCCCTTTAGCATCAACTTCAAAAAACAGCTGATGGCTGGTAAAATCCTCCAAAACCTAGAGACACAAAAGCAGGAGCTTAGATGGCATTTAGGAGAAAGCAAGATGAACAATGAGTGCTACAAACATGGAATTATCGTGTTCTGTCGTTACCACCACCTTCTGCACATGAGTTAGCTGCTGTATTTAAACTACAATTTGTTGTTATGCATTGAGTGAGAATGCATTCTAGAAGAGCAGGAAGATATTTGAATATCCCAACAGAGGAAGAATAAATGTTGTATCCCACAAACCCAATCCCTTCTACTTAGGAAAAACATCTTGATTATATAAGACAACATAAAACCTATTTACGTAAGTCTTCTTGCTACACTGAAGAGCTCCCTGTATCAGAGCACGGCAGCCCACAGTAACACTAGAACTTTGTACACATTATTGTTATATCTATAAATAACTGAGCTATACTTAGAAAATAGAAAGCAAATTCTTGCCTCACCTGATTTTAGTTTTTTGCATGCTACATCATCTGCTGGCAACTGACATCTTCTTCTGCGAGAGGTGGAAGGTGCCTGTTGCACAGGGGTAACCTCTTTCCCTTTTCCAAACTGATCATTATTTTCGGAACCAGTGGAGGTCAAACACCCGTTTTGAGTTTCTGAAGCCTCACTGTTTCCTGAGAAGACACCATTTTTATGGCGAGAAGTCGAAGTAGCTGCCTCTGATGAGGATTCTACCTTTTTCTTTTTATTCCTCAATTGCCTTGTTTTTTCCTGGGGTGAATCACTTTCTAGAGATGTACCTTCACCTTTAAGTATCCTCTTTTGACCTCGGTCTTTGGGCTTTTCCATGAGAGAAGTGGAACCAGTTTCTTCAGATTTAGAAGAAATTGTTTTCTTTCTGCCCACTCTTGATGGATTTTCTTTTGCAGATGGAGCTAGATTCAAAACTTCACTCTGCTGTTCTTCAGGAGTTTTGTTCTTACCACCTTCTGGAAAACCTTGAAGCGAGGTGGAACCAAGAGCCAGTGAAGTAATTGTTTGCATTGAGTTCCCTTCTGAAAGATCCATTTTTTCTTGGGAAGTAGAATTTTCCAGAATGAGCTTTTTTGCTTCCCCGTTATTATTCCTTCCACTACTTTCTTTTGACAAGCCCCGTTTTCCCCGAATAGAACTTGTGGCTTCTAACACGACGTCAGTTTCTTTCCTTCTACCTCTTCTCTGCTGATTTTCTTTTACAGACAAATCAGAAGTTTCTAATGGAACATTTTGATCATCTTTAGGGGCTTCTTCTCTACCGCTATCTGCTGCCAAACCACGTTTTCCTCTAAGAGAAAGGCAGTTAGTTGTGTGTGCTGCCAGAGCAGTTTCTTTCCTTCTGCCCCTTCCTAATGGCTTCTCCTTTGCACAGGACACAGTTTCCAAAGGCGTGTTTTGCTCTTCATTAGCACTTTCCTCTTTATTACCAGTTTCTGAGGAGTCACATTTTCTCCAGAGAGAAGATGAACTTTTTGCCTCTGCTGCTAGATCAATCTTCTTCCTTTTGTCCCTCCCTGATGCATTTGCTTTCGTCTGCAAAGTTTTATTTCCTGAAGCTGGGGTTTGATCTTCTCTCCCAGCCATCTTTTGATCCTCACCTTCCAGCAACCCGCGTCTTCTTCTGACAGACAGAGATCTAGATGTTTGTGATGCTGCAGCACCCTCCCGCCTTCTCCCTCGTCTCGGTGGATTGTCTTCTGCTGATAAGGGAGTAGCTTCCAAAGCTGAATCTTGCTCCTCTACAAAAGCCTCATCTTTACTATGATCTGCAACTAATATTTGGTTTTCCACTAAGGCAGAAGGAGCTGTTTGTGGTTGTGGCACAGAATCAACTTGCTTTCTTCTGCTCCTCCTTACTTGTAAAGCTGGATTTTCTGAAGTCTCACGTGGACCATCTTTGTAAGTTATTCCTTTGTCATCTCCAGTTAAACTCCTTTTCCTTCCAACCGCTTTGGAACCGGCCTCTTTGAGGTCAAAAGTAACTTTTCTACCTCTATCTCTTCTAAATGCAGTTCCATTTGTTGGGGCTGGATTCTCTTGCGGGATTTCAGTTTGGTTTGGTGTAAGTATTTCCTGTTGGTTTCTTGTCTGCTTTGGACGGCCACGAGCACGAGTGTTACCGTTTGCAGCAGGTACTGAAGCCCCAGCTGGGTCCTTCTGATCCTTCGTGACTTGGTGACCCTTGACACAACCAGAGCTCAGAGAATCTTTGAGAGAAGATTCATCCTTTTCCGTTTCTGACTTCAATTTGGGAGCGATTAGTTCTAGGCTATTCACATCTTCAGCAAATTCATCAGCTTTTTTCTCCCAAGAGCCGTTTTTGCCTCTCCTGTTTCTAGCTCTGTTTGTTTCTCGTACTGCACGTCTGTTTGCTTCCAGGCTCAGAGCAGGAACTGGCATTTTGTTTGTCTCTCCAGAAGGTGACTCTGCCTTTACTCTTTGAGATGCCTCTGTGGGATTTTCCTGAGCGTTTTCTGTTTCATCTCCCTGAGATATTTTAATCTCACCTGCGATGTGAGATTGTGTTTCAGCTGAAGTTTCCTCAGTTTTCTGAACGTTTTCGGTTTTCTTTTCATTTGCCATCCCACAAATGTCTGCTTCCACTTCAGCCGAGTGCTTTCTAGCCCTTCTTAAAGACTTAGCTCTTTTCTCCGTTACCTTTACATCAAGTTTAGTTCCATTTTCAGCCCCCTCTGCTGTGACAGTCTCAGTAGCTTTGTCAGAAGTCGGTCCATCTCCCTGTACCACCAGAGGGTCTCTGCGAAGCCTCCTTGTTGTCCTCTGAAGGTCCTCTAAAGGAGCTTGTTTAATTTGATCATTTTTAGCTCTTCTTCCTCTTTTAGGTGGAATTGGTGGTTCTGTGTTTTCTACTTTTTTTGCTCCTCTAGCCCTCTTCCCAGGTGACAGAAGCAGTTCTTCACTGCCTTCTACACCACCACCATCAGATTTGTTTTCAGGTATTTTTATGCCCGTTTGCAGCTGATAATTTTCACTCTGAATGCTACTGGACACACTCACTGTCTTCACCGTTGGATCATCTTCAGTTTCTAATACGTCCTTGATGCCACACTCCTGCAAAGTCTCTTTCCTATTTGCAAGTTCTTTTTGCAGCACTGAAGCATCTTTGCCACAAGACTCAAGATTCTCACTCGGATGTTCTAACTCCTTCAGGTCTTTCCTTTTACCTCTTCTTGTTCTTTGAGGAGCTCCACACGGTTCCACAAGTGAAACAGTTTCAATTTTTTCTTGACCAGGGCGCTTTGAAACGATTTCTTCTTGTACGCAGCGGTTTGTTCTCCTTCCTCTTCCTTCATTTTTAGCTACTGAAGGTGAAGTATTGATCTCTCTCATCTCCTCTTGGGTGCTGGTTTTTTCCAGACTCTGCATGGTTTTTAAATTCAAATCCTTTTCACACTGCTTTGCTGAAGCAGGATGTACCATCTTCCGTGCTCGGCCCCTCGTTGATCTCTGGGTAGACTGGTCTTCACTAGCTGATTCCTTCTGTTGAGAATCTTCACCTTGTGAAATATTTCCTTTGTCTTCTAAAACAGTTTTTTTTTCCCCATTCAAAGGTTTTACATAAAAGAGAGCACAAACAGACAAAAGTTACATATTACTATGGCTGATCTAAGTATCTGTGACTTTTGATTTTCCTAACAGAATCACCTTGTTCAAGCAAATCACACTTCATATTCTTAACTTAAAAATTAATAAATAAATAAATTGTTATTTTAGCCAATTCCTACATTCACAGGTTTAAGCTACATATTACTATGGCTGATCTAAGTATCTGCGACTTTTGATTTTCCTAACAGAATCATCTTGTTCAAGCAAATCACACTTCATGTTCTTAACTTAAAAATTAATAAATAAATTGTTATTTTAGCCAACTTCTACATTCACAGGTTTAAGTGGTTTTTTTTCCCCATTCAAAGGTTTTACATAAAAGAGAGCACAAACAGACAAAAGTTACATATTACTATGGCTGATCTAAGTATCTGCGACTTTTGATTTTCCTAACAGAATCATCTTGTTCAAGCAAATCACACTTCATGTTCTTAACTTAAAAATTAATAAATAAATTGTTATTTTAGCCAACTTCTACATTCACAGGTTTAAGTTACATTCTTGAAAGTCTTTGCAAAGAAAGCTAATTTTACGTGGAGACCTTAACATCAGGTTTTTTTACCTGATTTTTTGGAGAGGTCAACGTTACCTCACCAACACACTACTCCACTCCTACTTCTCCAACAACAGAATTCCAGTGCCTGGTGTCCACTAAGGACAACTGCACAAGTACCATGAGCCACGCCTGCTTTGCACAGTGTATTTTTGAATTTTAAAACATATGTTAAAACTTCATAATGACATATATTACCTTGTATACTCATTATCCTCTAGTTAAAGCAAAAGTATTTCTACTTACCAAATTTCTGGCTGGAATTAGTACAAGGAGGTGCAGTATCTTCTCGTTTAGAATCCGTAACATTTACTGATCTGGCCTAAGGGAATAAATAATAATCAATAAACACATGTCTAACAGGACAAAAAATAACAAAGCCAAGCAACACAAAATTATTGTAGAGTAATAGCTGAACAAAGTCTTTAAAACTTTTTTCTAAAAATGAAATCAACTTAGTTTTGTAACTACAGTCATTATATTAGCACACAAATAAAGCGAACTTAAGGCTTCAAGGTCTAAATACATTCCTTCCAAAAGTTAAAGAAAGTGTTTTACCTTAATTTCCTCTGGTGTATCAAACATTTCCGTAACTCCAGCGTAGTCCACTTCAAAATCAGAACATTTCTCCCTGGGTTCTGCCATAAGCCTTTGCAGACCCACAAAATCATCAACTGGTTGATACTTCTCTTTCGGAGTCTTCACTAATCTACTAAAACCAAACATATTTTCTATGGGTTCAACTCTTTCCTTTGGTGTCTTGAAAATCCGGCTGACCCCAACCATGTCTTCTACTGGTTGATATTTCACCTTTGGCGTTTGCTTGATTACAGTATCACCTGCCACATCTTCCACGGCTCCCTGGTTTTGTACAGGAGTCTCCAGCAACCTTTTAACAACTACTTCACCTGAAATGGGTTCTGACTCTTGTTGTGGGGTCTTCAAGAGCTGCTTGATGCCTGACAGGACCTCGACTGGCTCTGGATTCTGTTTCGGGGTCCTCATGAGCTGCTTGATGCCCGACAGGGCTTCTACAGGCTCCACCTTCTGCTTTGGGGTCCTCATGAGCTGCTTGATGCCTGACAGGGCTTCTACAGGCTCCACCTTCTGCTTTGGGGTCCTCATGAGCTGCTTGATGCCTGACAAGGCCTCTACAGGCTCTGACTTCTGTTTTGGGGTCCTCATGAGCTGCTTGATGCCTGACAAGGCCTCTACAGGCTCTGACTTCTGTTTTGGGGTCCTCATGAGCTGCTTGATGCCTGACAAGGCCTCTACAGGCTCTGACTTCTGTTTTGGGGTCCTCATGAGCTGCTTGATGCCTGACAAGGCCTCTACAGGCTCTGGCTTCTGTTTTGGGGTCCTCAGGAGCTGCTTAACGCCCGATAAAACCTCTACAGGCTCTGACTTCTGCTTCGGGGTCTTCATGAGCTGCTTAATGCCCGATAAAACTTCTACAGGCTCTGGGCTTTGCTCTGGGGTCCTGAAAAGCTGCTTGACACCTGACATGACTTCAACCGGCTCCAACTTCTGCTTCGGAGTTCTCCTTCTACTTCCTGATTTCACCTGACATGCTTGTTTTTCTGGAATTATCAACAAATGATCCACACTAGTATTTTTTTCCAGCGTGGCTCTTCTTTTTTGAGGAGTTTTTGTGGATACTGCATCAAACATAGACTTTAGAGCCTCACTGTCTCTCAGTAAGTGACGAATGCCTGGACTATCTTGTTTCTGTTCTGAAGCATCTGAACTGTTTAACGGCGACACCAACATCTCTCCTGAAATAAGTAGCAGATTTAAGTAATTTGGAAAAAGAATTAAGCAGAAAATCCAGGTATTCTAATTGCTGCATAACGAAGTAAAATGGATTCCAACAGCCGGAACCTTCTACAAACCAAGAAGCGTGCATCATGTATAAAAACATTAAAGAGCTCTGGCCCTAAAATTGAGCCCTGGGGGACCCCACCACCAGCCTGATGCCCAATTATTTGCCCAGTTTGCTCGCCCACCAGTTTGAAGAAAGCACTAAATAAGGATAAATAAAAGCTGGTAATGGACACCTTCAAAACTTTCTAACCTGCCACCTTCTAAAAAAAAAATTTAATAGGACTTTTTCTGCAAGATTACACAATAACTCTCCTCACCGTGAAACTCTGTCACTGCATTTAGACCTGTCACAGACAACTGATTAAGAAAGTACAATGCAGGCACAAGACTTGCCTGAAACAATACTTCAACATCTTGAAGTTTCATACCAAACAGAACACCTACTGAAAAGTTAACTGGAACTACAAAAATGTCTTTTAATACAGGGTAAAAATCCTTTTATGGGTAGCAAGATGCTTCACCTCAACCCATCAAGTCTTGCCCAGGCTGAGACTACTCACTGTCTCAAGTAGCAGACACCCCACTACCCTTAAACACACCAAAATATTCCCTTTCTTTTCAAATAGCAAACATACCAGATTCTTCAGGAGTGTGCAGTTCAGAAATGTCTGCTGCAGAACAGGTCGGTGTAAAATCAGTCTTCTGAACAGCGGCCAAAGGTAATGATTTGCCACTCTTATTTTCTGGAGTTTGAAACATTTCAGTCATTCCTATAAATTATATTCAGAGAAATGAGTCTATGCTTTGACAAAAGAACTACACACATGGCAGAGTGAGCAACAGACTTTGTTATATTCAGAGAAATGAGTCTATGCTTTGATAAAAGAACTACACAGTTGGCAGAGTGAGCAACAGACTTTAAAAAAAAACCCTTACCTGTGAAACTTTCATCCATGTTCATGTTTAGCTTCAAAATAGGATTTTTTACCACTTTAGGGACCTGTCCTGCTGTTCTGACTGTGGTGGAGTAAGCTCTACCCACAACTATTGTAGCAGGTGACTTGGCATGACCTGTACTAACATGACCTTTTATTTTTCTTTCTGGAGTCTGCAGAGGGGAAAGAAGAAGGGAAAAGGGTTAGTAAACAAAGATTCATTTTAGGTAAAATCTACATTTCTTACACACTCTGACAAAGACATCAACACCCATTTAACATCATACTAAAGAAAAATGCCTACAAGCTGTTTTGTAGTTATGCAGAAACAAGGAAAAAGAAACATGAAAAAAAAAAAAGAATACCTTTGGTGATTTGGGTATCTTCTTTAGGGATCTTCCTTTTTGGACATGTTTTTTAACGGTCTTTGATTGTGGTCTTGCAACACCTAATTTCACCACTTCTGCCCAAGATTTTGCAACTAGAAAGTAAAAGAGAAATAACAACTTCAATTCTCAGCTGTACAAATGGAAATTCATAATTATTTCTTGATGATTCCAGTGGATTTGCTGAAGTCACCCACAGGAAAGTGGTTGTTACATCATCTGACAACACCTACACTAACATGCTCTGTGAAATGCTTTTAAAAGGAAGACCAATTTCAGCTGGAGTTCAGCAAGTGCCCCAGAACCCAGTATGGCTTCCACAGCAAAACATGCTTTTCAAATTATTTCAAAGTACTGTTCAACATTCAAATCCAAATGTTCACTTTCAAAATATTCAAATTAACACCCAATTCTATAATTATATCTGCTATATACCACTGTCAACAGTTAAGTGCAGTCTTCACTCCGTATCAAAAAAGTGCACAAAGAAAACAAACTGAAGCAAGATGGCTATAAAGTGCACATTTTCAAACGAAAATCAGTATAACTGATACAATTCACTTTAGTTCAAAACTACTTGAACTTGAAAGACTCGAAGGATCACAATTGCTTTTTTTTTTGCTTTTTTGCTTTGCAAAAATTACCTGAATGCTACCATTTTTCAACTTCTGAACATTAGGGGTTTAAATACATTTTAGTAATTTGCTTTATAAGTACAAGAGGATGTAACACACTGCAATTCCCCGTTGTTTCCAACAAGTCCGACCACCATCAGAAATACACCAATCACTCGGTGGCCTCTGCAGAATGAAATAACCCTACTTCAGTTTTGTTAATGTATTTTAAAGCATTAAAATTAATATTAAAAATTAACTGCTGAAACAAACCTAGTAAATTGGCGCTAGAGGCACCACTTCTTCTTTTTGCATTGATCACTGCCACAGCCCCACTTCTCCTCTTCATGGGTGTGACCTTCAAAGCAAGTTGTGAACTTCTCCTTGATTTGTCAGGTGTGGCCATTAAAATGGTTTTATCATCTTGGTTAATGCGAGGAGATTTAGGTGTTCTCACTCGGGCACCATTTTTCTCCTTCGTATCCATGTCTTCCTCACCAGCATCCTTCTCTTCTGCAATGGGTAAGGGTGGTGTGATGTGAGAAATGGAGAATCGTCCTCTTCTGGAAGGTGCTGGGGAGCCCCAAGTAAACGTAGGTGCTGCCTTCCCAGAGGCAGGGGATGAGGCAGTCGGGGACTTCTGGGCTGGCAAAGGTTTTGGTGACGTTTTTTCTTTCTGCAAATGTTCAGAAAGTTCCTGGGAAAAAACCAAAACAAAACAACAAAAATAAATAAAGATAAAACGTTCCTGCACATCCCTGAACTACAAATGCTCATCTCCATCTCTGACAGTAAATACAATAGTATAAAAATACCCTCAGATCATTTGAAAAAGCCTTAAAACTTGTTACAAGTTTAATGTTTAAATTTCAAAACAGTCTCACAAAACACATGCAAATCCAGTTGAAGAAATCAACCGATTTTATAATTCTACTTCAGTCAAAAAGTCCTGTTCACATCAAGTACACCAGTTTTAACTAGTTTAAATTAACTAGTTTAAATCAACAGTAAATGTTTTCAAGCTTGTAGCCAAACTATGTTTGCACATTCTGCCAAGAAACTACTGATCTCTGTTCTGTAGGTGCTGCTGCTAAACACAAATACAGTCCTGCATCTGCATGTGAAGGAGCAACATCATGAGGTGAATAAAAACACACCTTCTGTACAAAGAGGGGTAGATATAAAGGGTAAGCTGAATGGAGAAGTTAAAAAAAGCATATTAAAATTTGCCAATTTCAAATACAATTTTAATTTGCAATTACAATTTCCACTTCGCATCTAACAAGGTTTACTACTAATTTTTAATGAATTTTTAGAAGTCTCGAAGTTTGCCAATTTCAAATACAATTTTAATTTGCAATTACAATTTCCACTTCGCATCTAACAAGGTTTACTACTAATTTTTAATGAATTTTTAGAAGTCTCTTGAAGTTATAAATTCTGTTCACATTAACTGTCTTCGCAACTTCACTGGTCTTTAACATTTACCTGCACTGCAAAGTCCTTCAGTCCCTTTTTCAGCACAGCACGAGGGGAGTTTCCGAAGGGCAGGCTCAGCCGGGCAGGAATCGCACCTTTTTTAAGGGGGGAGTTGGGAGGCAAACTTTTATCAAAAAGTTCTGGACTCAGATGCCCACCAAAAGACACTCGCTTTCTTTTTCCTAGAGGCTGAGGCAGCACATCACCAATTTTCCTCTTCTGAGAGACTCTTCTTGTCTTGTCTAAAAAGAACAATAGAAAATATTTCTGTATGTCCAAGAATCCAAGTCAACATCAACAGAAAACAGTGCATTTTAGAGTTGGAAACATATCAGAAGGTAATTACCATAAAGAGAAATAAATTCAGCTGAGTAAACTTTTTTCTGTATTACAATGTATTTTTATGATAAATTGTGTTTACATGATAAATATTTCAGAACTAACACGTCAGCAATGAGTTCTGGTTTATTTAAGTGGAAAATTTCTCATAAAAACGCTATGAGAATTTCCCAAGTACAAACCCAGTGAGGCAGGGGATTGAAGATCTTTACCTGAGTCTTCTCCAGGCAACAGGCCAGAAACCTTCAGTTCCGAGACACCCTCCTTGTCCTTCAGAACAGCAGGACTTCCAGAAGACCTTCTCTTTGATGACAATCTCTGAGGCCTTATAACACTGGCATCTTCCAGGTCTTGTTTCTGATGATCCCCCTTTGAGGCCAGCTCTTCTTTAGCTCCACTGTCTTTTCTGTCTGTCATCTTATCGTGATCTTCTTGTCTGACACTTGTCTCCAAAGGTTTTTCCATCAGCAGGCCAGAGGTCCTTCGCCCACCTCTTTTTCTTCCAGACTCAGATTTCTGACCAGCAGGAGATGCCAGTTCTGATGTTAACTCTTCTGAAGCCAGTGTCTCTGAACAGACACTTCTGTTTGATAACTCTTTGCTTCGCCTGTTACTTCTTCTGGAACTCTTGGAAAGAGAGACAGGAGTTTCAGGATGTCCCTCTTTCGAGTTACCAAAGTTTGCCTGATCACAAATTTCTTTCAGCACTTCTTCTTTTACAGCTTTTGGTGTATGTTGTTTGCTACTTCGTCTTTGTTTCAAGCATTTACTTTCTGCCAAAGGCAGTTGGTTGAGGCTGTCATTTCTGCACAGTGAAGCTTCCCTTTGAGATCCAGCTGACATTTCTGAAAGGGACTTCCGTTGCAACGACACACGTCGTCCAGTTGTTGGAGTATCAGTATTTAACGGATTCATTCCACTAATTTCTTTGGTAGGTGGTGTGAAAGGAGACCGAGGACTCCTCCTTGTGGGTGTTGGTGTAGACAGAACATATTTATCAACTTCAGCAACATTTGTCGTTTTAGTTGTTTGTACCAGTTTACCTAATGCTATTGCAGAGCTGTGTATTCTGTCTGCACAGCCCAAGCGTTCTATAGAGCACTGATTCAGTAAAAACACTGCATTTCCATCATTCTCCTTGCTGGGTTTGGGTGTAACTTCGGTACCTTTAGATTCTTGTGCTGTACTTATCTCCTTGTGACCCTGTGAGAGGCTTCTACCAGTATCTCTCAACCCCTTCTTTGAAACAGGAGTTCGAGGACTTCTAGGAAGACTCCTCTTGGTGGCACCTCCTACAGCTGAGCTCTGGTTAAGTTCCGAACCCATTGCTTCCGGCCTCATTGTTATTTTACATTCTTCAATCTTGTCACTTCTGCCTATTTCTTTTTCCTTCATCAGGCTTCCCAGATCAATAACACAACTCCACGATGAAATCTGAGCGCTTGGTTCTAGAGGAACTCTCTTACCATCTTCTTTTGCAGCTTGTTGAGACGCATTTCCCTCTTGCAGAGATTTTTTCACTTTCATCTCTTGCTTCAGTTTTTCATAGAGTTTAGTAAAGGGAGACATTTCATTTTGCTTTTTAATAGATTGATGTATTCTGTAGGAAGATTTGGGTGTTTGTAGCTTGTTGATGGGTAAAGATTTGGAAATATTTTCCTCTGTACTTTGTTTAATTTCGTTGGCATTTTTTTCTTCACGCTCAGCTTTATCTACAAAGTAAGCAAAACAAACCAAAAAGTAATACAGATGCAGATTTACCTAAAAATTGCAGAACTAAAATAGGAGTTCCATAAATACAGATAAACATTCCTTCCTTTCCTCTCCTGAGATGGTCAGGACACAGCACTGTAAATAAAGCTCTGTTAACACTAACAATTTCTCTCCTAATAGAAGCATTAGTATTGAAATGTTCAAGCTGTAATCTGGAATTTATGCCATATTCAGGTAAGACACTTGGTATTTCATGCTTTTGTTTTTCTTAAGAATCAATGGCTCATGTACATCTTTCAGGGCTGCCACAAAACAAATCTATGAGCACAGAATTCTGTACATAAAGAGCCTCCAACAAACCCTGGACCTTCCCATGACAGCACCATTAATTAAGACAGGAAGGATGGGAAGGAGAAGTCCTGGCATTTAACCGGTCCAGGGTCTTTAACTATCCAGACTTTGTAGATACAGAAGATTTTTACTGGGTCTACACAACACAGGTATTGTAAACTATTATTTCAGTCAGCAAAATTAACCCTTCCTATGTATCTCCAAAATTATACCTGTTTCAATTTCTTCCTAGGAAAGACTACATGAGATAATGCATTGTCTGCTCAAAAGGATCTACTTCACCTATCAGTTTCAACTGGCATTTGTATTGCACTTACAAAGCTGGTGCACTTTATTCCCTTCTTAGCCACAATCTTCATAAACTGGATTTGCACAAATCATTTAAAGAAATATATCTGGATTTTGCCAATTCCAGGCTGTTACTGCCCATGTGTCAGGACACAATTAAACTGGTTTCTCCCGGCAGGACTTAGCTTTGGTAAACCACAGCATGTAAGTATGGTAAGGCAGTGCACTGCCACAACAAGGGGTATTGTACTCAGATTGGAAAGTCTTAAAATACATTTCTTTTCCTCTTTTCAACCTTGTATTTCCCCTTATGCTAAGAATAAATGCAGTTAAGGGAGAAGAAGAAAACAAAGCCCCCATAACCCAGGTACCAACCTGAAGCACGAGGACTTTTAGGTCCTGAAGGTTGTTGGTGAAATGATTCCACTTCTGCCACCTGCTGAACATGAAGAACCTGTAAATTTGTACAATATTACAGCAGAGCAACAAATATTTTACTCTACTTTGAAAAACACTAGATTTATAAAAAGCATATACATTGTTTACTAAAAGCACTCAAATGAAATCCTAGAATATTTCAAAACTTACAAACATTGACCAATACACATTTGAGGCCACAGAAAGCACGAGTTGAAATCTTGTTTTATCACTGAAATTACTAGCTCTAAAAGCAGCTGTAGCATAAGAATATATACAAGCACATTGGAATCCAGACCTAGTGGAAGATTTTTATTTAAATAAGAGAACCATAACATAGAAAAACCCAAAACTTTCAATAGCCACAGTACTCACAAACTAACACTATCCCCTTTAGAGGAGAAAGTTTTGCAAACAAAAAAAAAGAAACTAATGAAAATCAATAATTAAAAGATAGGCTTAGTTTGATATTTATAAATTCCAACATTACCATACCAGCACACAGAATAGCACATTATTTTGGAAAAAAAAGAATGCTTATTCTCTGGGGCAAACTTCCCCATTTAAAGTACAAGAATATCCAATGCCCGTGCTCTGCATTTCCTGCAGCCCATCCTCTCTCTGAAAAAGCTAAGGATTAATTTTTAATAGCTTACCTGTACTAGTAACATCACAGATTATTAAGTGTCTATTACCAGAAACTGTAAGTCTAAAATTAATAAATTATTAATTTTTTTTAAAAGTATTTATCTAGAGGAGTTTACTTGCATTTTTAAACAGAAAAGGGGCCTATAGCTGAAAAATTGAATATTCCAAGTAAGAAATCAGAATAAGGAAACAGGAGACCATATCACCACTATGACTAATGTTTTGTAACAAATTGCCACAAAATTACCTGCAGCGTTTCATCTTTTGGAGTCCTAGAACGTCTCTTCCTTGGAGTTGATGGGTGAGGATATTCAAATCTGGAAGAAATATTTAAAAAAAGACAATAGCTTTTTGTCAACCAGATAACTAAATTCCCATTATTAAGATAAATGGCCTAGCAATAGTTGTCCACTCCCAACAATACACACGTATCTCTTTTAAAGCCTGTAAATGAAAATACATTTAAGTTTTCCCCTAAAACTGACTACCCTTAAAGCAAAATCAAAATGATCTCTCTAGACAATTCTATCTTTATTGCTTTAGTTTAATGCAATATATAAGAGATAAGGAAAAAAATATCTTTAAGCAATCCTGCCTTCTGAAGAAATTCTCTAAGACTCTGTAAAGAAATATGAAATAAATTGGATTAACTGCTGTTTCTGAAGATAGTAAAAGGACATTTTAGTTTTTCCCCTTTATCTACAGCCGTTTCCTGTATCTTCAAACAGCACTAAGACCGAGTGTCCACAAAGCTGAACTGTTTGCCTTCAGAACACCTTCTAGGACTGAGGCATTAAAACTTTGTCATCCACACTTACCTGAAAGAACGATCAATAATGGTTAACACGTCGCCGTGCTTCAGAGGTACAGGCTGCTGGAAACAACCACCGTTCAGCTGTGTAGGATTTACTGTACTCAAATTAGTCAATATTGCCTAAAAATAAAACCAACATTTCAGTGGCCTGCTGAGATGCAACGAAGCAATGCATATATCATTAAAATATGTGTTTCCTACCTCCTTGTTTTCATTTACTTCAATTTTACAGTGTTCTTTTGAGACCTGAGGCAATTGGATGCGAATATCACATTCTGTTCTCCTGTGGGTGAAAATACAATTTGAGTTCCAAGACACACAAAAGATGTAAAAATCTGACTGCTATAGAATTAGGTGATCTCCCAACTTTTCAGGTAATAATGGTACAGCAGCATGATACTCTCTTAAATTTGGTAATATGATGAAAATGGACTAAGTCTTTCAACTGTGGCGAGCAGTAACAGGAGTTCACACTTCTACCTCAGAGAATCCCTACCGGAAAAAACACGTGGAATACCAAAATTGTGAAAAAAGCAGTTGACAAGCCAGAAGACACCTGTCTATAATAGACATCTGGTGGTTTGAGATAACCCCTTTCCTGACTTGCAAGTTGCCAAAAACCTGTGGAATATTAGACACTTCTACCTTCTTAAAAGCTGTTAGTAAGTGAAAGCTGGGTTTCTAAGTGTACAAACTTCAGCTTTTTTTTTTTTAAAGCTAATCTCTAACACTTTTGCCATGCAGTATGTCTTGGGCAGCAAACACATCTGCTATCATACCAGAGGTACTGTTCACAGAAGTACCCGACACTTCTCACTGCTGCAACTGGCAGAAATTTATGTTTGTGCCATGAACTATCACCCATCCAGCAGCTCTGCTACAGCCAAACACCAGCGTTATTGACCCGGGAGTGCCCCCCATAGACTCTCAATTCTGGATTGAATAATTACAGCTATTTAAGATATCTACCAGCCAATAAAGTGCTGAACAGACCTAGTGTATGAGAAGTAAAAACATTTTATTTGAGGCCTACTTATAGTAAGATCATCTAGTCAAGTCTTCACACGTAACACCCAGGTATATTAATGTTATTTATTAATGTAAAATACCTGGATCAAGCTCAAGACACACTATCACTCAACTGTGTAAGTCAAATTAAGTTTCAAGATTGGAGAAGAAGGTAAAAGTTCTTATTCATTTTTAATATTAATTCCAGATATTGGCTGATGTATTCCATTACTGAGGTTTTGGAGAAGCAAAATAAAAAAATAAAAAAAATAAAATGCCAAGAGCACTGATTAATGAAGATGGTCCGATACAAGCCACGTGCTTCACTGCTCTTCACTCGTAAATTATCTGGAAACTGCCTCTAGACTAAATGCCACCATCACTGGCTTGTCAACTGTGCATTACTTTCAATCCCTTCCCCAGGTTTTCCTTTGGCCAGATATGTAAAAATAAAATCATTAAAAAAAGGTAACTCTGGCAAGGAAAGGGCTAAAAAGCAGTTAACAAATATGAAGTTCAGCTTTCTAGTCTTACAATCAACCTTAGTCCAACATCCCCTTCCTTCCCCTGAACATCATTCCCAAATAAACAAGTATTTATTTTTGCAAATAAGTATTAAAAAATCTGCAGGAAAAATACCACTAACGTTATTTTGATGTAGGCAAGTACTCAATTAATTCTCACCTTCCAAATAAACAAGAACTTGCAGTGAGCGGGAAAGTAATTCCATCAGTCCCATTCCGTTTGATTACAACAATATTCCCAAAGAGCGGCATCTTCAAATTCAAACGTAAGGAATCTTACCTATAAAAGAACGTCAAAAGTACTCATCCAAATAACGCTTCACATATTTATGAAAGTAAATCAAGGTAATTTTTTTTTACTTCTGTCCAAAGTGACATTTTCCAACGTACAACAGAAGAATCTCAGTGCATTTACATATTGCTTCTGTAGAAAACTGGTAACTATTTAGCATGAGCAGCCAGTGGCATCCTAAACGGGAGGTTAAAGGCACTGCGTTATTAGGAGAAACTAAAGTTTATACAGGTTGGCAGGAGCAATCATCACATGCTCCTACAAACGCGTTGATACCACTTGTACATACGCAATAGGTATCTGCTACCCAGCAGAGCCTCTGACACATGATGTGTTTCATCTCATAAGCAACTTAAAACTATTTTGAGTTAAATCACCACTCCCCCTCGCCCAAATCTAGACATTACACACGCTCCTACCCACATGGAAAGTCTTAGACTCGATTTTAAAGTAAACAGAGACTGCACTGTACCCTTCTGAAGGAGGAGGAAATAGTGGCATTGCCAGGAAGGGGCACTCGCAGAAGACACCCGAAAAGAGGGCTGGAAAAAGCACATATAGCATGAACTACGAAATACTGCACAGCTGAAAGCCTCAAGCTAAAAACAAGGGACGTAATGTAGTTAAGAGCGACCCCTCTGAACTTTTTTGCTCGATTTCACGGGATAAAATACTTGTTGAAGAAAAACAAAGCACACCCGAGGACGAAGTTTGACAACGCCTTTAAGAAAAGCCTTTACCCGTACGTTACAGCAAACGACAGCCTCCAGCTTTCCTTACCCAAAGCGCCCTGTTCACAGTTGCCACCAACTCCTACAAGCCAAACCCGCCACACGAGCCGCAGAAGCCGAACTACGAGCCCCAAGGGGGACAAATCAGCCCAACTCCCCTCAGAGCCGCGTCCGCCCGGCCCGATCCCCCCCTCCACGAAAGGGGTGAGGGTGGAATCGGGCCGGGCGGACGCGTCTCTTCCTCCCCACGAAGCCGCACTCCCCCCGCAACTCCTCATCCCCAAGCACCGCGGCGGCCCGGACACCTCCTACCTCGGTCGTTGCGCTGGCAGCCCGCTGAGGGGCTGAAATGGCGGCAGCGGCGCGGCCCCCTCCCGCCCGCCCGCCCCCGCCTGACAGGGCTCGGCGCCGACTGAGCCTTCCCGCGCGCGCCGGACCCTCGCACCCCCGGCCGTATCACTGCGCCGCACCCAAACAAGAGCACGGACGGCCGTACAGACAACCCCGGAACCGCCGCCACCCTCACTCGGAGACAGCTGCCATGGCTGAGGGGACACACCGAGCCCGGCCGGCCGGGACAGGTGCGCCCGCGGCGGCGGGACTTTTTTTAGCCTTAACCGGTACCTGCTTGGCGGAAGGAGAAATACAGCAACCGAACTGACGGGACGGACGTTTGGTTCGAAAAGGCGCGCGACAGCCGGCGATTGGCGGAAGGGCGGTCACGTGGACGCGCGGCGCGCCCAATGGGGAGGGCGGAGGCGGTTTGATTTCAAATGGAGGCGCCGGCGCTCCCGCCCCAGGGCGGTTCCCGCCTGAACCTTCCTCCTCCCCTCAGACCGAGAAAGGCTCCCCTCAGAGGAGGGAAGGCCTCGGCCCGGGCAGGCCTCGGCGGCGCCGCTGTGAGGGAACGGCCTCAGCTGGGCCCCAGAAACGCTCTTCTTTAGTTACTAACGTTGCTTGAAGCTTAAAAGAACTCCTTAGGTTCGGAAAAGGTCCTGAATCAGTTTATACGACTTCAGCATAACTTCAGAAGCTGCTTTCTAAACCAATTTAAGAGTTTCCTATCTGTTTTCTGCACTGGTCTTTTTGTTAAAATACTCCTAAAACTGAAAAAAAAAAAAGGAGCAAGGATGAGGGAGAGAAAAGCAGCAGTGAAAACTAAACCAGAACTTTTAACTCCATTTTAACCAGCCGTCTTCATTTAACTACAAAAACTGATTCCTGCTTCTGCTCCCTGACAGGAATCCATTGCTAAGACTCGAATTTGAGGGTGGGGATGACACAGAATCGAGACAAACACTCTTTGTGCTGCTCTCTCTCCGAAGGCAGAAGAAAAAGTTAAAGAAAAAGAACAACTGGCAAGAAATCAGAATTTAGTTCAGTCACGCAAAGGTGGAAAGAGCTTTGTTCCTAAACAAATCCCATATCATTGTCCTCCTCATCCTTATCAGACATATATTTGAAACTGCTACTACGTGTTATATATTTAAAAATTCATCTCCAAGCAATGAGATGATAATGTCTCAGTATTAAAAATGAGAAGGAGCCATCATTTAAAAACAGCCAAGGAGAGGAAGGCACCTTTGAATATAATCTCAGATCAGAAACACTTTTCAGATTGTAAAGGCTTTTAACCATAGCCCTCTCCAGAATACACGAGATACCTTTTCAAAATGTTTTTTAAAAATGTATGCAGATTATGCTGAGACTATATAGCTTCCATCTTTACGTTCCTAGAGCTTGAACATTTATACCAGTGGTCTGAAATTACAAAATACAGGCCCCAGCCGCCTCATTTTATTCTCCAGAGTCTCCTCTATGTGATGCACAACATTAAGTTTTAAAAGCTCCTTCTTTGCTTTCTCATTCTTTCTGATGTCCAAGGGACTCAGGAAAGCTCTTGGACTTCTAGAAGAGAGATCAGAAGGTGCTGTTTTCACCCCCATGAAAGGGTGTAGGAAAGTGCTTAAAACCCAAGGGAGCAGGGATTTGCCAGGTGAAGACTGAGGTGACACCACTCCTCCCCTCCCCGGGGAGACAATATTGAGGGGGACAGGGAGGAAGACTGCTCTTTTGGCATCCGTTTGCTCAGACTGGCTGAAACCTCAAAAAAAAAAAAATCTAAGCCAAATTAACCTGAAACCTCAAAAAAAATATCTAAGCCAAATTAACGTCTGTAGCTGGAGAAGTTATAGGAATTTACAATAAGCACAAAAACAAAGCACTTCAGAAAATGTGAATAATTTCAAAAAAAAAAAAAAAAGAGGGAGAGCAATTTACTTTTGCAGGTTATATTTAGAATATACCCTGAATAATACACATAAATATGTTTGAATTTTGGATATTTTTCCTCTCTACTTCCTAGCTACCAACCATAAACTGAGAACTAACACTTCTGTTTTTAAGATGACCACGGGAAGTCTCCTGAAGGAGCAGTGTGGGCTCCAACTTTCACGGTATTTTTGATACACACCATATTATCAAAGACATACAAAGCTAAAACATCTCAGTTACCAGACTCCTTCAAAAAGCAAACCTTACTTTTACCATAATTCATTTACAGCAAAACCAGCCTTGCTCAATCCCTTTCCTTCTTCCCCAACATCACACTTTTACAGTTTCCACCCCCCTCAAGATGGAAACTCCAAGGGAAAATAGACAAGTTGTTGAGCGATGCCTGATTTTTTTAAACTTTTATAATAAATTTGCAGTACTGAGATATGGTATCTGGTGACCTTAATTCCAAGTTAAAGTTCTTTGTGTGGGTGGGGGGGAAGAGATACAAAGTGAGAAAGGCCTTTTACAAGGTCATCCAGCCTTTTGTGCTTCAAGGGATAAAATTCAGCTCTTTCACAAAGCAGAACTCCTTTTGATATTGCTACTACTTTATTTAATTATCTAGTTCGCCTCAAATACTATTTTCTGTGGTATGATGACTTTAGGGTACTTTAGATGTGATACGGTTAGATATAAGCAGCTCTTTAAATGCTATTTTTTCCCTTTGAATTAAATTACTCTGAAGTCTATTTTATAAGCTTTGGTGGGGTTTTAATTTAGTTCAGCATATTAAGTCATGACCTTATTATCATACCTTCAGCTTGTCACGAGAGCTTTTTGCTACTGGACAATCTTGTGTTTAGACGTAAAGTATTCAGACAAAATCAGAATTCTGACACTGAGTATCACTGCCAATAAACAGATATTAAAGTCAGATCCTTCCTGGGGGGGGTTTACGATCTATTTATACCTGAACAATGTATCCAAACCAAACAGTTTATACCAGAAAAGTTCTTTGAAAGCTTAATTCATTACAGTCTCAGCCAACATTTGATCAAAGTGAGCTCAGCAATTTGGTGCTATCATTATAGAGCCATGGAATTGTCTGGGTTGGAAGGGACCTTTAAGATCGAGTACAACCATCAACCTCACTCTGATAAACCCATCACTAACCCATGGCTCTAAGCACGATGTCAACCCGGCTTTGAAATCCCTCCAGGGATGGTGCCTCAACCACTTCCCTGGGCAGCCCAAACCAATGTGCAATAACCCTTTCCGTGGAAAAATTTCTCCCAATATCCAATCTGAAGCAACTTGAGGAGCAACTTGAGGCCTTTTCCTCTTGTCCCATCGCCTGTCTCTTGGGAGAAGAGACCAACCCCCCCTGGCTACCCCCTCCTTTCAGGGAGTTGGAGAGCGCGAGAAGGCCTCCCCTCCCCAGCTCCGTTGCCCTTCTCTGGCCCAGCTCCAGCCCCTCAATGTCTTTTTTGTGGTGAGGGGCCCAAAACTGGACCCAGCCCTCAAGGTGGGGCCTCACCAGTGCATCAGTACAGGGGGATGATCACCTCCTGAGGCCTACACACCACACTGTTCCTGATACAGAGGATGCTGGTGGCCTTCTTGGCCACCTGGGCACACTGCTGGCTCCTGTTCAGCCAACAGTTGACCAACACCCCCAGGTCCTTTTCTGCTGGGCAGCTCCAGCCACTCTGCCCCAAGCCTGTGTAGATACCTGGGGTTGGTGTGACCCAAGGGCAGGACCCGGCACTTGGCCTTGTTGAACCTCATCCCATTGGCCTCAACCCATCCATCCAGCCTGTCCAGAGCCCTCTGCAAAGCCTTTGGACCTTGTATAGGCATTGTCATGCTGACAAGGGCCTTGGTGTTTTTACATTTAAAAAAATAAATATATAAAATCTGCAGTGAGCCAATAATTACATATTCTGGCATGACACACAGTTGTTTATTCGCGCACTTACCGCACAGAGTCCTGTCGCATCCTTTGTGATAAACGTCCCTGCAAACCCAGCAATACTTCCAGGAGAACACAAGTTCTAATAAAGGTTTTAAGCGTGCCTTTAAATCTGTCTTTAAGAGCAGCCGTGCTCTCTTAAATGGAAGATATACAAATATTTGCAAAAGCAGATCTATAGGAGAGAAAAAATGTCATTTTCTTCAAGGTTTAAATGTTCTGTTACTATCTGTGATCGTTTAATTTACGAGGAGTACAAACTGGTAAATACATCTGTGTACAGGTTGAAGTAAAACTGTCAACTTTCAAAAATGTATTGAAAAGTAGTTTATTTTAAATCACTCCTTGAATCTCCTCGCCTGTTGTTTAGATACTTTTAACTTATTTGACCAATCAGCAGGTAATTTAGGGAAAAGCTACTTCTTTGATATCCATCAGTATGGATCTGTGAGCCTTTGCAGGACTTCATCAGGGTTATTAGCGAAAGACACGGGCCCCAATAATACAAAAAGCTAGAATTAATCGCTAGAACAACAACAAAGCAAAGAGAATTACAAAAATTAGCATCTTAATTCCTCAGATGAAGATCCTTACACAAGGTCAATTGTTACAGTTTCTGAGCAGGTGGTTTGGAAGCACTTGAATGAATGAAGCTTATTTCTCACAGATTTCTACTGCTGTTTTTTTAACTCATTGTCTGAGAAAGCACAAGTTTCAGTTAAATCTTTTACTAAAAATTATGGCTTTTATAAGATATATAGGTATTAGGTAAATAAGGCACTAAATTCAGGCAGCAACTTTAGAATTAGCGAAAGGCCATCACCACTGATCAGCCCCCAATTGTAGAAAATGGAGTTACCTTTGAATATACCTTTAAATTTGGGCAGTGGATCCAGAAGACACAGCAGGGAAATGCACAAACAAAACAGTCACCATGAACCTTGCTTCTAGAATTGCCAAAACTAGAACGGTTCAGACAGAATTAGACCTGGAAAGTGATTAAACCCCTAACTTCTAACAAAAAAGTGCTAATGCAGATGGGATTGCCCTGAATTCAGTTGCACTGGTATCACAGATGAGTTCTCCATTTGATTTAGTTCATGAATTTTTATTGGGCACTGGAAAAAAAAAATATATATATTCCAGGCTGTTCACACCGTCTAAAGCAAAGTCTAGAGATTAGTAACTTATTGTATGATGAATCTCTGGAAATTTAATGTTTTGCAATAGACTTCCTCTCTTCAAATGATGATTTATTAGGCATCATTGCACCTAAAATTTTTTGAATGCTTGTAATTCATACACAGAGCTTCATTTTGACAAATTATTGTATGTGGGAGGAATCTGCCCGAGTTTATGAACAAATGGGGTATGTTTGCTAAAAGGCTTTCTGTTCACATTTGATAAATACTTTGAAATAATACATTTCTCTTTCTTTTAAATGGTGAACGAACACAGCAGAACAACCTACTGAGGGAAAACATTGCAAAAGATCAAACTCCTTTATATGATGTGAAGCACTCCTATTTTTAAGCAAAAAATTCTGTATTTCAAAAAAAAAAAATCACAGTTCATCTTCAAAATTAGCTTTCTAATAGGCAGCTTTCACTGAAAGCCTTCAAAGCCAGGAAAGATGACTGGAAAGCAAACTATCCAATGTCATAGTGAAGTACATCATTTTTTAAATGTAAATTACTGCTGTGTAGTACCTGGGACTGGGCACGTCTTTGTGTCTGCGCAACAGACTTGCCAATTACAAAGTTGCACAGAAAGAAACTTAGAACTAACAGAACTTAAACTTAAACTTAGTTCTAACAGAGAGTTGGAACTGCTCAGGTAATACCTAAGTGCTCACCAGGAAATGGATCATTGACAGCTCTGGATACTAAAACAACTGTCATAGTGAAGTACATCATTTTTTAAATGTAAATTACTGCTGTGTAGTACCTGGGACTGGGCACGTCTTTGTGTCTGTGCAACAGACTTACCAATTGCAAAGTTGGAACTGCTCAGTAATACCTAAGTGCTCACCAGGAAATGGATCACTGACAGCTCTGGATATTAAAAGTTTTAGTGAAAACCTCTCATTTGGGAACAAAATTCTTACTCCAGGAAAGTTGGCCATGGACTTCAACAGATCGCTTTTAATCCTCAAACTGACCATAAGAGGGATTTTTTGTTTCCCATTCAGTCCTTCTGCTCATCTGCCATTTATGTAAGAGTCAGTGATTTGTCCACGTGTTTATTACGACCTGGGGCAAGATTCCACTGTTTTCAGCAAATTACCTCAACCTCTATTAAAGTATGCAGTGCTCTTAATAAGGAAGAAAACCTACCCCACGCGCTGCTTCCTTGGAAACAGCTTGTGCTTGGTCCATAGGCTGCCATAAAAACCTCAATTAGAAAATATTTTGCGTGTGACATTGATGAAACCACTGGAACAATTTCTAATGCAGTGGAATTAGCCTTCCAGGGCCTGTACCCCATGTGCTGCTTCCTTGGAAACAGCTTGTACTTGATCCGGAGGCTGCCATAAAAACCTCAATTAGAAAATATTTTGCGTGTGACATTGATGAAACCACTGGAACAATTTCTAATGCAATGGAATTAGCCTTCCAGGGCCTGAAGGGGGGCTCCAGGGGAGATGGGGAGGGACTCTTGGTCAGGGAGGGGAGTCACAGGATGGGGGGGAAGGGTTTTGAACTGAAAGAGGGGAGATTTAGATTAGGTACAAGAAAGAACTTGTTTGGTGTGAGGGTGGTGAGAGCCTGGCCCAGGCTGCCCAGAGAAGCTGTGGCTGCCCCATCCCTGGAGGGGTTCAAGGCCAGGCTGGAGGGGGCTTGGAGCAACCTGGGCTGGTGGGAGGTGTCCCTGCCCAGGACAGGGGGTGGCACTGGGGGGGCTTTAAGGTCTCTTCCAACTCTAACCATTCTATGACTATGAAACAGGTGAAAGAAAAGAAAAATATGATTATTTGTGAAAGAACTTCCTTGGCAAAGTCTCAACTTGATTAATAATTTAGTAATTCTCCTACTCTCTGCAAAGTAACAGAGAAAACGTATAAAAATCATTAGAAGAAAGCCCTTATTAAAATATCTAAATTGCAACATAATCCTTTAATACCTAAGACAAAGAACATTCACGGTGCAGTTCAATGCTTGAAAAATCCTCAGTCACATCGAACAGTTTCTATATTAAGGAAAGCATAGCTTAGACTCGACATATACACCCTACACAGAACAAACATCTCTCTTGGTTTATATTGTTTAAATAACCTAGTAAAATAAATATATTTCTTCAACCATTTACAACGAAACTGTCTTCTTTCTAAAAGCAGAATTTCTAAAACCACGACCATCTTCAGCGTCACAAGTTGTAAAATGCAAAAACTCGATAAAGAAGCACAAGGTCTTTATGGTATTTCTTTGTAATATTTAGAAATAGGAAAAAAGGTGCACATTCTCATCAGATGGGCCAAGAAAAATTAATTAGAATTATGAAAACTTTATCATCAATACAGTTTCTAAACAGCTGGATGTTACCTGCTAGAAGGAGGTGAGGATCAAGTGATCCCAAGTCCTTTCTGCGACTTTGGATTTGCTGTTAATAAAAACACTATGATTGGCTGAAGGTTAACGAAGATGCTGTTTATTGTTGATCTTTACAGAAAGAGACCACAGGAAAAAGGTCATTCTTCGTCTCAGAGTTTGCAATCCCCATTGTCTAGCTTGAATAATTTAAAAATGATCTATAATAATCTATAATGATCTAAGATACTATACTGCTAGAGAGAATCTTATACTAGAAATTGTGCAGAACTGCAGTAATCAATAATTATGGTTACCAATAATTGCTTAAATTAACCCATGATGAATTAATAACTGTTTAATACTTGAGATTCCTGTTTTCTGAAACCACACACAGACATCTGTTCTGTTCTCACACAGTTACCTGTCAGGGGGCTCACAAGCTGTGCTTCTTGATACCTGTATAAAATAAAAAGTATACAATCCAATCACATAAAAATATTTTATTCTCTCATCTGGAATTAATAAAGAAAAATAATAGCTTTACCAAAAAAAAAAAAAAAAAAAAAAAAAAAAGAGATTACTCTTAACTCGGTACTATTTAGTGTCACAGTGAGAAACAGCAGTATTTTCCTGAACACTAATTTCTTAAAGGCTCTGTATTTCCGTGTGATGCATCCCTGGATTTAAAACGCTGCAGGCAAATTGTTAATAAGTAAATTTATCTTTTCAGTGAAGCAAAGACACCCCTTGAGGATGCAGATGCTGCTACTTTTAGAAAACAACATTTTGGTAAAGTTAAAACATTGTGGTACCTTTTCAGGTATAACCTTTCACCGGGTCGTTCCTGGTGAAAGCAGCGTGATCGGCAGGCACAGACACCTGGGTGTGAGAGCAGTGCACAAGAGGGACACGAAAACTGAAAGTTCTTCTAAACAAGTTTGGAAAAAATAATCAGGAAATTATCCGCACTGAAAAGGTACCTCCCAAACACTCGGTGCCAGGTGTAGCAGATGAAATGGGGCTAAAGGCGTCAAACCCATAAATAATGCTTCATTACATCATACTTGACAAATAAAATTCAGTCTTTTCAAATCTCAGGCTTGACACGAGGATTGTAATTGTTCTGTAAAGTTACTCCTGGGTTACACACACCTCCCCTGGCACTTGGTGCAAGAATGGGGCATCTTGATTATTTTTGGCACCCGAGGTCCAATATAAAGCCTGCTGAAATTAATGAAATTGCTGGTAACTAGAGTGGGCTTTCAATTAATGGTGGGTTGAAATGAAGACAGTTGAAAGTTAAGCTGTTCTTTTTACCTTGGTACGATACCCCAGCGCTGTTAAACCTCAGGTACTAAAGAAAAGAAAGGATTTGAGTGCTGAAAGTGAGCTTCTCCCTCCCAGTCTGGGAAAGCCCCTCTCCCCAGGGACCTGACACCCCCAAGAGTCATTCACGTGATGAATTAAGGTGCTGGGCACCCCCTTACACCCCCCATCTCTCTCTCTCAGGGTGCTCGACCCCAGCTCTGCCCCACTCCAATGCCTTGCTGGAAAGAAAGGAGCCATCGCACCAGGGGCTGGGCAAATATCCCTGTTATTGAGCTATTGCAGGGTCAGACCTGGAATCACCCCATTTATACCCAAAAGGGGTGGGTTGCAATGGGCAGAATCACAAAAAAATCTCTATATTATCAGATCTTACTTATTAATACACTTTGGGAAGACCTTGTCTCTCAATTGCTATCACAAGTTTCTACACACTTTTTTTAATTGCAACGGGCAGGGTCACAAAAAAGCTTTATATTATCAGATCTTACTTATTAATACACTTTGGGAAGACCTTGTCTCTCAATTGCTATCACAAGTTTCTACAGGATTTCTTTTACACACAACACTTCAGACATCAATCCGAGTGTTACTTCCAAAAAGCTGCAGATAAATAATTTTGAGACTGCTTATCTCAAGAATGGATTTCAACTCCTTTAGCATACTTAATTTAAATGAACGCACAGTGCAGGAATGAAATTAAAAGATTTAAAGAAAGCCATGCGGGTTGAGAATAAAAAGGAAGCTTTGTTCTTGCATCAGAATGTATTAGATCTTGCAATTTGCATATACAAATAATTCAGCAACATTCACCGGCTTTAAAAACACAGCAAGATCAAATTATAAATGTAATAAAAGAAAATAATAATAGTGAAACTGTATAATACATACATATATTATAAAGATTTGACAAATTAAATACAATTTGGTTATACAGAAAAGTTTCAAGAACTTTACATTAAAAATGGTACTAGGGAAATGAAAACATTTCAAAATACTGAACATGGGTGGTCAGGCTCATTTTAAAAGTTTAAAAAACTGATACGTAAAAATACCCTAAAAAACACTGGTAATTACAGTATGCATTCTTCATTAAGGCCCAATTCAGCAAAGCACTTAAGGGATTGCTCCAGGATACGGTGCTTAAATGTTTGGGGGAAATAAAGATGTCACAAAACCATTGCTTAAATGCTTGGGTGAACTGGAACCTCCCTTAACACATGAGAACAGACAGTCGAGTCACATAGTGACCAAAACCACAGACAGATCAGAAAGTACAACTTCTAATCGACTATTTGGCATTTTAAAGTAATTCCATGCAACAGAGGAAAATTTAAAAGAAAATTCATATATATCTATATATCAAGATAGAGCTCCCCAGTTACCAGGCTGAACACAAAGAACTGGAAAGCAAGCTTTTCAAATTATTTAAAAAAAAAAAAAAAGTCCCTACATAGCTATATTTGTGACTTCTGAAATATATTATAGGTATTTCTGTTTCCTCCTAGATATCTTTACATAGTTAGCAAGTAAAAATCTGAGTACCCACTTTGTGTTTGATGTTTGGGCTTGAACTCCATCCTACCCAGAGCCACCACCACCCACCACCGCCGTGGGGCTGAGGGGGCAGCTCCGGATCCAGCCTTTTACTGAAGGGACCCAAAAAAGGCTGCCTTAACAGAGAAATTACTCTTCAAATGTAGACCAAAAATCCCAACACTGGAATCTAAAGGAGACCAGAAAAACATGCTGCTTTGGAAAACGGTGGGGATTTCTGTGCGTTGTTTTCTGTGGTGGTTTAACCACTTTTGTTGAGTCTCCCTGTGCTACGAGTGATGGTGCTGAAAACCGCCCTCCGGAGAGAATTTATTTGTTGGCTTTTTTAAAAAATGGATAAAATTTTAGCATGCAGCAGTCATGGAAACTTGGTCAGTGTTTGTTTCCATTACACTTTCTGTGTCTGGAGTGTATCTTCTAATAGCGACTCGCGACAAAGCTTTAGTCTTTAAACAATCTTTTTTTTTTTTGTTTTAAGTGCATAATTTACTGTACAAATAAATACAGAGTGCGTGGATGGGGAGACAGGAAGCAGGAATGGCAGTGATCAGAACAGTGTGCTCAGACCTTTCTGAACTGCACCTTTTCCACTCGGGATGGAACAGTTCTCAGCAGAAGTGAAAAATGGGATAAAATAGTGCAAGAACAACCGTGAAACGAGCAGTGTGAGTTGCTTATTTTAAATAAGGCTTTTACGTTTGCATTGAAAAAAAAACCAACCGACTGGACGAGACAGAACTATTGCATATTAGTCACGTAATTAAAGTACATATTCGCATACTTTGTGCTCATTAATTCATATATGCATCTTAAAGAGTGGAAAAGATATACTTTTTAATTATTCAACATTCGGATGCCCTGTGATTTTTGGATTTTCTAACCCCCAAGCATATCTTGTTCAGGGCTACAATAAAGACTTTTAACCTTTCTTTCACCAATTATATTATCAGTAGTACTTTCATTAAAAATATATCTATATACACAATCATATACCCCTTTTAGATAAAGGAATCATTCCTTCTTTGATAATATCTATGGGAGAGTGAGAACATAGAGGTGCTTTTTGCTACAACACAATGGTGCTAGCATTATGCTGTTAGTAAAATGGGTTAGGGTTTGGTTTTTTTTTTTTCCAAAATTTTAGCCAATACTGTTAATTAACTCTTTTTCTTTGATTCAACAGAGTATCTCCTTTGCCTTTCCTCAAAGCAGAGAATCATGCACGTGCCTCCAGAGGAGCTTTATATCCATTTCTGACAAGGGCTATAAAGCCTCTTCAAGTAGACAAGTTCAAGTGCTGCAAAATATACTCTTCTGATATGCAAAATAGTGGTAAACTCCCATTACAGTCCTTCTAAATTGATATAAGCTGGTGTCATATTTAGGAAAGAGCAAAATAAATGGGCTTTGAAAGCTACATTAAATCAAACATTCAAATCTCCTATTCATACAGATTTTATCTTATTGACAGTAAGACTCAAAATAGAACTGCCAGCAATCTGGAGGTTCTTCAAAACAGACTTTAAAAGCAGTTATATTTTTCCAGTTGGGCTGTACATTATTACACATGAAGAGCCACATTCTGATACCTTTATCATTAATAGCATTTTCACTCCGATAGTCTCTTTGCCTTTAATGAGCCTATCTGAAATAAATGACAAATAAGCAGGAGCAGGTTACCAGAATGCATCCCCAAATAAACATTTTCATAGCAAAGGAGGAAGATTTACGGCCAAAACATGTTTAGCTTAAACATATGTACCATAATTCCCTTTTTTTTTTTGGTATGAAATATAAATCACCTGTGTAAGGTTTCAAGAATTGGGAGATAACATTCTTGATAAATATTTATAAGTGGGGAAAAAAATAATCAAAGAAATAGACCCTCAGGAATTAATTTAATGTTATTTAGAATAAAGATTTCTATACCATCTTATAGTGATATACTGTATATGAACATTATATTTCGCTTTAGAAGATATTTATATTTAAGAAATAACTTTATACAGCAAACGCAACTTTTAGAGCAAACGCAAGGTCATATTTACAGTAAAGTCAACAATCAAAATGACATGAATAAATTAACAGAATATACAACTATTTATACAGACAAATTAAAAAATAAGGCAGGATTTTTCATTTGAAATTAGCGTAATCTGAAAATATGTCGATGAAATCTTGTACCACTCTGTAGCAGAATTCATACTGTTCCTGAAAGACAAGAAAAAGACACCACAATGTGCTTGGGTTGCATCAAAACCGTAATTCTGCAAATCCTAGTGGTAAAAACAACAGGTTCTGACTCGAGCCAGCAGCCCAGGACGGGTCAGTTCGGGGTTTTTCTTTAAAAAGCCGCTGCGCCTTCGACGTGATTTGCTGCATTTACCAAACCTGTGCCAAGGCTGATAATGAGCAGAACTGGCACCTGAATTCCCTCGTGCTGGAAAGCGGGGTTTAGCCAGAGCCTTTCCTCAGGATCAGCTGGGAATATCCACAATTCCACCCTTAACTACCGCTATTAACGCGCCGAGCCAGAGCCCCCACAGAAACGCCTCATCCCTGTCTCAGCCCAACGGCCAACAATCAGTCCTGCTCCTCCAGCCCCTTCCTTCCCTCCTGCACTGTGGAAAAAACATCCACCTGAAGGATGTGGTCTGAGATAGTTGTTTCTAACAAAGTTTCAAACCACAGAATGGAAACTGCTATTAAAATACTAAATATCAGCATCTTTATATGTTTTTCCAAAAACATAACTCTCAAATTTTTATTTTTTTTAATACTTATTCAATAGTGAAAAGTGGATGAAGCTTCACACGTCACTTGTAGATGACTTTCAAGAAGTCCTTTCTCCCTTTCAGTGACCAACTGCAAGCTGATTTAAGCCCAGACATTTTTAAGTAAGAAAGATCAACTAATACATAGTTTAAAAGGCATTTTTTTGGTGTTTGTTTTGTCACCTGCAACACTCAAAAAGATTTTGGTTTGACTGCCTCGAGGTCCTAAAAGACACAGAATGTATTTTTAGAAATGCTATAAAAACCATCTGTAAAAACACAGATTTCTGATAATACCTTGTACATACACAGCCGTCATACATAATTTATTTCAACCCGCAAAAAAAAATAATAAAATAAAGCCTTTGTTCTCCTCCCACAAGAATATTTACAAACACACATCCTTTGACAAGGATCTGGATTGTTAAATATCATACCAGTGTTTGCACCATGTGTGGCCTTTGCAGTCTTAAGCTCTTCACAGCTTGAAATACATCTAAGAGCCCTTCAGCCTTCACTCGCTCCAGGATATTGCTGAGTGCTATGAAGGTACCTGTTCTGCCGGCGCCAGCACTGAAAGGCAAACACGTCACAGAATTGCAGGGTCAGAAGGGACCTCTGGAGATCACCCAGTCCAACCCCTGGCCAGAGCAGGGTCACCCAGAGCAGGTCCCACAGGAACGTGTCCAGGTGGGTTTGAATGTCTCCAGAGAAGGAGACTCCACCACCTCCCTGGGCAGCCTCTGCCAGGGCTCTGCCACCCTCACAGCAAAGAAGTTCCTCCTCATGTTTAGGTGGAACTTCCTATGTTCAAGTTTGTGCCTGAGTCTGGCCCCATCCTCTTGCCACCTGTTCTTTAGATATCTATAAGCATTGATGAGATCCCCTCTCAGCCTTCTCTTCTCCAGCTGAACAGCCCTAGGTCTCTCACCCTTTCCTCATCAGAGGGATGCTCCAGTTCCTGATACCTCCGTAGCCTCCACTGGACTCTCTCCAGCAGCTCCCTGTCCTTCTTGAACTGGGGAGCCCAGAACTAGACCCAGTGCTCCAGATGTGGCCTCCCCAGGGCAGAGCAGAGGGGGAGGATGACCTCCCTGGACCTGCTGGCCACACTCTTCCTGATGCCCCTCCGGAGACCATTGGCCTTCTTGGCCACAAGGACACGTTGCTGCTTCATGGGCAACTTGGTGTCCATCAGGACTCCCAGGTCTCTCTCCACAGAGCTGCCTTAACATACCTGAGGAGAAAAATCTTAAAGGAGGAAATAATAGTGGTATAGAATAGCCAAATTCTTAATTTTTTTGTGCTTAGTTTGTCACCTCAGCTATGCCAGAGTGGAACCAGAATTAATGGCAATTAACTCGGAGCCAGGCTGGAAACAATAAAGGCTCATTAGTGGGAGGTTCTGTAGGCAAGTGGGAGATCCTGAGCTGGCTGTGGCAGAGCCTGGACAACCCCAGCCCAATCTGTCCCCCAACTAACGAACCAGCAAAGCTGGAGTCACCTTCCACAGGGACAGCTGTGGGTGCTCCCACACCCCGCTTTCCATGGTCATTCTTGATGGGGAGAACCCAATCCTTACACTTTCAGTTGCAAAACCTGATTATAACGCACAGAAGCACCATGTGATCAAACCCACATTTTTCGGTTAAGGTTGTGATTTATGGTTCTGCACGGTGGACAGATATGAAAGCATTATTGTCATTTATTATTATTACTCAAAAGCAAGTTGATGGAAAACGTCCTGTCCAACTATAATGCTTTTAACGACTCGTAGGATCTAAGCCATTTCTTAAACAGATTTATTAATATAAGGACAAACTAACGCAAGTCTACCTATGAGGCTATAATACATACAAAAAACTAAAGTCCACTGTTCTGCTTTAATGACAGTAAGCAACCTAATTTACTCCAAAATAACTGTTTCTTTTGTTCCAGTACGTTTCATTGAGTATATTTTGTCCTTAGATCCATTTCAAATCACGATTCCATGGAACTGAAATATATTTCAGTAATTATTATCTGGTTTATTATACCTAATGCCGGAGGAAAAAAAAAAAAAAATTAAAAAAGATGTGTTTCTCTCTCCTAATCAGACTGATTAGGGACTATGTGACACCAAGAGAAGAGTGACCGTGCACTGGAAGGCCAATGGCTTTGATGGGGAATAGTTACCAAAACCAGAATGGGATTGGGAACTGGCAATGAGTGGTAAAATAGAGCAGAAGGTTCACTGGTTTGCTGAATGAGACAAACACCTGGCATAGGACAGGGAGATATTCTGGTTTTCATTTATCAGGTCATACTCAAGCCTCCTCTTAGCATTAATTTAAATACAGTTTTCTCTCTGCTTTCAAGGACAGGGGGACATTTTGCCTCCTGCTTGGATGAGGGGTATATTTTATTCTCCTGGTTCTGAATTAACCAACAGCATTTTGGTCCTGAGAGAACATTGGAGGGCTGCATTGGTGGGTAACATCACCCACCCCAGCCACAAACCTCCAGCCTTCCTTTCCTCATCAGGGCATTTAGCAAAACTCAGGTGCAAAATTATAACACGGCAAGTTATAGTGCACTTGTTTCCTCCCAGCTATAAGTGTGTGTTAATTTAGCAAAAGACAAGTCACAAATACTTTAGCAGGACTCCCAGGTCTCTCTCCACAGAGCTGCCTTAACATACCTGAGGATAAAAATCTTAAAGGAAGAAATAATAGTGATATAGAATAGCCAAATAGTACTATTAGCCAAATTCATAATTTTTTTGTGCTTAGTTTGTCACCTCAACTATGCCAGAATGGAGCAGGACTCCCAGGTCTCTCTCCACAGAGCTGCCTTAACATACCTGAGGATAAAAATCTTAAAGGAAGAAATAATAGTGATATAGAATAGCCAAATAGTACTATTAGCCAAATTCATAATTTTTTTGTGCTTAGTTTGTCACCTCAACTATGCCAGAATGGAGCCAGGTCCTACCTGCAGTGCACCGTGATGGGGTGGTTGCCCGTTTGCTGCTGCTGCTTTTGAACCGCCGCGATCAGGTCGATCATCCCTTTCCCTTCCGCAGGAATCCCGATTTCTGGCCACCCGTGGAAGTGGAACTGCCTGACGAGCCTGCTTTGCTTCTCCTGGTTGCCCTGCGTGCCCAAAACCAGCAGATTTATCCAGTTATCACTTCGAAATGGAAACTTATTTCTTACCTAAAATATTCCTAGCGTAAATTTTGCACCACTAGAGTCGAGGAGGCTGTTTTCAACCTGCTCCATAATATATTAGCATTGAATGACAATAACTTTTATATTGTGCCGGAGTCCAGCTAGACTACAATAAAATGTTAAAAAAAAAAAAACCAAACCCACAACAAAAAAAACCCAACACCCACACCCTGCTTTGATCTCGGCCATGTTTTACTGACCAGAATTTTCATAGGGCTTCAAGCAAAAATGTTTCATTTAAGCTTCCTCTTGATTGCTACAGGGGTGGACGTTGATTAACCACATTTATCTTGAACTAGAAATTCCAGCATTATAAGCGACGTAATTGTATGTGTAAATGCCTTCGAATGCAAAAAACAACCTCATGAAATTGAAAAGCCTTACCTGATTGTATGTAACGATGAAGTCCCTTACACTTATGGCATCTAAAAGACTGTCATTCTTTATTTCTACAGTTATCTCTCCGTGAGTTACAGAGCCCTCTGACGGCCAGTACTGGCAGCATTTTTCCTGCAAAAAGGAGAGAAAATAGTGAACGTTCCTTCAGTTTTTTTCCAGATATCTATGGCGCCATGAATCTCTGATATAGGAGGTGACATACTGCGTAATAAATGTGTTCTAAACACTTGATAATAACCAAGAACAGAGTAGTAAAACAGTTCTATAATATAAACTGTTAAGATGGAAAGGGCTTAGGAGTCACTGGTGGCAAACACTGCTTTAAAGCAGATCAGAATAAAATAAGTAACTCCTGAAAGCCACCCAAAATCAACAATAAAACGTATTTCATAGCACTAAAACACCCCGGTGGCAGCGTTGGACCCTGAAGCTTCCAACTGCAGCACACAGAGGGAACACAGGACTCTCTTCGTTAATCAACGATGTCCTGGGAGAGGGTCAGAACAAGCCCCTGGAGCTTACACCGGCAGGGCAGGGAGGGAAGTTTTGACAAAAGCTTTGTTCCCAAATCCCAAACTGCTGTTCTGTGTCAGGCACCCCTGTAGATGTTGTGCTTGGGCCCTTTCACAAACCACAACTTTCAGTAGTTTTGGTGGGGTTTCTAACAATTCAAGCAAATAGTGAAGCAAGAGCTCATTTTAGGAAAAAAATCTCCTATCACCAGAATTTGCAGGCAACAAATCGTTTATGTGATATTAATGCTGGTATTTTACAGGCGTTACCAGCAACCGCTTTGCCGTGTGGGGCTGCGGGACACGTACGTACCTGCTCCCTCTCTTGCACCTCGGTGAGCATGACGATGGTGTGGCACTTCCACTCCCACACCATCCGCCAGAAATCCTCCACCGTGTGTGGCAGCGGCCCCTGGGTGGCAATGAAATAGTCCTTCTGGCGATAGCCCTGCGGAGAGAGCCCGGGGGGCCTTTAGGTGGTGCCAGGACAGTAGGAGTGAAGCAGGAGGGAAGGTGATGCTCAGAGAGGCAACGTGGTGCTCACTGCAAATCCAGTGACACCACCCCATTCCTGCTTATTGCCAGAAACGCAGCAAAAAAATCCCCCAAATTCACAGTTATAGAATGGTTTGGGTTGGAAGAGACCTTAAAGATCATCTTGTTCTACCAGGGACACCTCCCACCAGCCCAGGTTGCTCCAAGCCCCCTCCAACCTGCCCTTGAACCCCTCCAGGGATGGGGCAGCCACAGCTTCTCTGAGCAACCTGGGCCAGGCTCTCACCACCCTCCCACCAAAGAACTTCTTCCCCACATCTCAGCTCAATCTCCCCTCTTCCAGTTTAAAACCAGTATCTGGTTTAAAGTGTAGGGAAGTGTCCTGAATATTATTTTATGACCTTTTACAGATGAAATCCTGCAGTTAGAGGTAACCGAGAGTATTTCACAAGGAGATTATCACCATTCCGCAGTAAAGCTAATAGTTGCAGTGGATAATATTTAACTTATTTTTTGAGCTAAGTTCTATTTACGCACTGATGCAATCTTCACAGCTGTAGTATCCACGATCCTCAACCACCAATGGGGTTTTACTGCTTAAGGATATAATTAATTCTCATATTTAAATAAAAATAAGACGCAGTGGAAGGTGTTGCCCAGGTTCCAACAGGAAGCTGGGAACAAAATTAGGAATTAACACAGGTCTGCCCAGGAAAACCCTGGCTCCCAGACACTTCGGCAGCCTTTCCCCACACTAAATATGGATTTTTTTTTTTCTTTTTTAAGTTGGAAGAGCACATACTCATATCCATTGACATGAACACAGATAATGGAACTGTTGGATGTTGGTTGTACAGCTGTTTCCCTGCCTGTTTGTTATAATTGTTGTTAGGTTTACAAACCTAACAACAAGAAGAATGTTTAAATTACACAACCATTTAAACTGAAATTGAAAACACCAGATCAAAAATGTATTTGGAAACTCTCGTAAGCCAAACCCAAACGAAAAAGCTGATGTTCTTCCAAAGCCAAGACAATTGTGTCCCTTTAAAAAGACTTATCAGCAACAGCAAAACATTTGCCTTGCATTTCAAATACACAAAATGTTTGTATACGTACATCTATGAAGGAAGCGTTGATGTAGTCTGTGTACTCTTGCCCTCTCTTCATTGACAGAATCACTCTATTAAAATCATCTGGAAAAAAAAAGTCTAGTCTTACTTTTGCTGACTGTACGTTGATGCACAGAAAATATGCTGGTTTAGAAGGCAAAACTGCTGAATCATTCAATTAGGCCCTGAAAAATATCTGATCGTAATATATTTTACATTGATAAAGTGAAAAGCAATTCATTAATTGTCTACAGATCCTTTATATGGATATTACATTTATAAGGAGAGGCTTCTGCTGTTTGCATCATTAGGTTCTCCAGAAATTTTAGAGCAGAGGTGCCTGGAGAAAGGATGACAAAACCAGAGGGAAGGCCAATGGAAATGCCCCCAAAAAAATGTTCTAGCTAAAAATGATACACAACCAAAACCTACCACTTTGCACAGTATAACAGCTTTTGAAAATACTTGAGTTTTACAGGCAGAGAAGTTAAAACTTTGCAGAATTCCCTTTTCCAGCTCTGGGCAGGATCTCTATTGCTGAGTTCTCCCGGCAGAGCTGTGCTCTGACACGAGGTGTGGGGTTTGTCAGCACAGGTACAGCGGCTGTGGGACAACCTTAGGAGAGTCGTGTATTTAGAGCACTTGTTTCTCTCTACAAAAAGCTGTTTCTTACATGGGATGATCTGGATGACTCGAGCTTTCTTCATGTTTGCCGGAAGATTGCCAGTTCTCATGTTTTCTTTCATTATTCGAACGTTTGTTAACTTCTGTAATAAAACACACCAGCGAGGATGAGAAGTCATTATATCCTGCCCTCAGCAGGTTCCTGAGGGTCTTTATTGGGTACAAAACAGTAACACAAAGCGAGATAAAAGCCATTTCACTGTCCTGGCTATAAAATACCATTAAGAATAACACTCGTGTAATTTTTCCATACTGATAAATTTAAGAATCTGGACCAGAGCACAAAGATAAATTTTAAGGGCAAGATCGTGCAAGGTAACACAAGAATAATAAACTGCTTCTGCTGGGGTGGGACTTACCAGATAACCATCATATACACAGTTGTATTTCGGCAACTATTCAATATAAATTCAGTTTACATTAAAATTAATTTAATTTTCAAACTACAAGCAGATTTTCAGGCACTTCGTTGTATTTGCCAGGTACTGAGTTTCAGCAGCATCTCTCAATTCCAGTAAAATCTCTAGTACTGGCAATAAACTATTAAAAAAAAAAGCCTGACCTCTGAGAAATCACTTTTCAGCTACCCTGTAATACTGTGTTCAATAGATTTTATGTCAGAGACTCGTAACAGGTACAACATAGCTCTACTTCAGGCTTATTTTTATGTCATTTTCTCTTCCCAGTTCCCAATTTCTGATTGAATTACTCCTTTAAAGAAAAGGGAGATCTCCAGCTAACAGCTATATGTCATTTAATGCTTTAGACCTGTACATAGAATAAATATTTTAGCACAGCAAAAGTCGTAGAAAAGTTCTAACTATTTTCTCAGGGCAGTAACATCTGTTTTAAACAGACTGTTCTTGTTTTTCCCTGACAGGTCTGGATATTCAGCACAAGATGTGGAATTTCCCTGCGATTCTCTCTGCCGTGGGTCAGGAGGGAGTTAATAATGCCATTGAGATGCAAATGAGGTGCACGTCACCCAGCGCCCTCTTCCAGCCTTATCTGATCTGGCATCCAGTCCCGGACCCAAAAAATAATTCCGTTTTTCTTTTTATAAACAAACAGGAGGCCTATAGGAAGAGGCCCGTGAGATGACGTAGCTTTGAATGAGCATTTGCAGAACAGGATGTTGAGCAAAGCCCCATTGAGCAGCTCCACGGGGCCCATTCAGGCAAAACAAAACAAAACAAGCTGTTCGTTTTGATGGACTTTTTCTTTTATGGTCACCCTCTTCCTCCTTTTGAAGTCATCTTTTTGGCTTCAGTGTTTCCACACTTAGAAATCCTACAGCAAAGGCCTTTCGTACTTACTTTAAATTCTTCTTCCAGCCCTATTTTGACCAGGTTTGGCGCTGCGTTGTGTGACGTTTGTAGATGTTTTTCCAAGGATGACACATCTAGCTCCGTGTCACCGTAGAGGTAGTATTCGAGTAAGGCTTGATAAATGAAGGAGTATTGCATCTGGAAGGAACAAAGAGGTGGATCACCATAGGAAGTGAGACCATGAATTCTGGCACTTCCATCAGCTCATTCGGTCTAGAATTTACTAATTATCAAAATACACCTTAGGCTAAAACAGAGTTTTCCTGTTTTATCACTCACAGTCTCTAAAATTCCACTGTGTCCCATATGGGGAAACCTGGGCGTGATACCTAAAGTGCCTTACAGTGGTCTTCACAGCCTCCATCTTCTTCCCAAACCCCATCCTTCTACTGGGCTTTGTCCATTTTCCAGTTATCCAGAACAGGACATACTGGGATGCGTAGCAGAGTGGAAATACAGAAGCATATTCTTCTTGAAGCGTGAAAAGTTGGAATTTCAACCCATTGAAGTCCACTTACGTCAGTCTGAACCATCTGCGGACGCTGATTACGGATTCTTGAAACAAACTCAAAAACGTCCACTTTCTGCTCCGCGTGCATCATGTCTATGATGGCATCGATGACGATGAACGTGCCCGTGCGACCCACACCAGCGCTGGGAAAAGAAAACAACAAACAAACAAAAATCTCTATGGAATTGTCAACTCTGCAGGAATCGCTACAGCAATGATGCGGGTCGAGTCCGTGCTCTTTATACTGGGCAGAAATACGCGCTGTGAAAACCCCAATTTCACGTTGTATTTTAGCAGTGATAGCAGCAAAAAGCAGACAAAGTTTTTAAAAGTGAAAAGTCACCTCTTAACAGCTCAGAAATTACGAGAGCAAGATCCTATTGGAAAACACCTTTGGAAAAAAAAAGTGCTTCAGTCTCATATGAAATTTTAAATATTTTTTCTTAAATTCTAGCTCTTTTCTGCTTAGTTGCCAATTAGATAATAGTTACTTGTAACAAGTTCTTCACTTCCCAACACTGCCATCCCAAAATACTTGTTTATTTTTTTACTATCCATTAACAGCCACGAGAGGGAGCACGATCATTATAAATCACTCAACTCCAGCGACTTTCAGCTCTTCCTCTCAGAGGAAAAGGGCATGGCATCCTGTGCTGGGCATTAACAGCTCTCCTCTAGCCTTCTCTTTGCTTGCTTGGAACAGACACTGCCACCGTGTCCACAGACACCTTCCAAAACGGGACAGAAATCTCTCCCCCCCATCCCAATGTGCCCAAATAAACACAACAATATTCAGTCAGGGAACATCCGGCTTTAAATAACATCAGGAAAAAAAATTATAGCATCTGTAATATGACTTAGTTCGTGTGTACACACACTTTGAAGAGCAAACACTATGTGAAACCAAAGCCCTCGAGCCCTCCTAGTCCAGAGGGACGATGGAGACCAGCAGACCCATGGAGCACCACAGCTTTCCATCAAAATGTCCCACAACTCCTTCACGGTGACCAAGCCCACTATAACCTTCTGCCTCCAAATTCCTTTGGGTTCAGTCATCAGTTTGGCAGGTTCCCCTCTCTCCTCGCCCAGCCACATCCCTGTCCAGTGCTCCCAGCTGCTGGTTCCTTGACCCCTCTGCAACCATTGACCATGGGCCACCACCTCAGGGTGGCCAAGGCACCCTGCCCTCTCACTTCCTTTCGTTCATGTTTGACTTTTGCCACCCTGGATGAGTTCACCTCACAACCATTGACCAGGGCCACCACCTCAGGGTGGCCAAGGCACCCTGCCCTCTCACTTCCTTTCATTCATGTTTGACTTTTGCCACCCAGGATGAGTCCACCTCGAGTCATACTGTCCTGACTCTTGGTTTACAGAGATTTGCCTCTTCCTGACACGTCCTGGAAGCCACTTCTGAGCGTGGGCTGCTGATCACCGAGTCACACTTGTCCTTTGTTGCTCCATCCTGTGAGGTTTCACCCACCGAGCCCCGTGCTCAGCCTGTCCCCCACTTCCTGACTTCTCTTCCCTTTTAACACATCCTTGTTCCCTCCCCTTGCCCCTCGGTTACACCCTACTTAGATCAGCCCTAACTCACTCCTGGTGCCTTCCTGCTAAAGCTGATAATGTCACCAACCTTGACATTTGCTTTGGAAGTTCTCTGATTTTATCCATCCTTAACCTCCTCTGGGGTATCCCTTACTCAGCTGTTCCTCAACAGAGCCCTCTGCTCACTGAAAAAATACATTTCTGAAAACTTCTGGAAAAAAAAAAATATAAATCCCCTTTTATCTACAATTCTTTACTTCCAAAAGCTAAATTAGCCTTTTATTAACTTCCAACAGATTACGACTGAGCAGTTTTTGCTCAGAATGACTGGGTGATAATTTTATAAAAGCTCACTAAAAATGGACGGTTACTCACTATCGATGAGTTTCCCTTTCCTTTTTTCAACAATTCAATAGTGTCATATCCTGAACTGCAGCGGAAATTAAGTGTCACCTCTCGTTCTTTATTTCTAAGGCAGGCTGAAGTCCTGCTCTTGCCCCCAGCACCGACACTTTATGGCATTACTATCTTCCGTAGGAGTGTTATACTTACATCTCTGCAGATTTTTGTTAAGCTATTTCATATTTTCCTTTAATTTGTCTCTACTTCTGCTGATGAAACTAAGCACAGAATTTCCTGCCAGCTCAAAATGAAGCTCAAAGTGCAGTACGAGTCCCCTCAGAACATATGGCAAAAGGCTATAAAAATATTGTGGGTTTCTTCCTGCCAGCTCAAAATGAAGCTCAAAGCGCAGTACGAGTCTCTGCAGAACATATGGCAAAAGGCTATAAAAATATTGTGGGTTTCTCAAAGGAAAGGCTACGTGAGACCACTAAAGTCTGCTTTTTCTGTGTAATGCTTTTCTTGAAGCCTCTTATGTATGACACCTGGGAGGGAAGATGAATCCTCAAAGGAAAGGCTACGTGAGACCACTAAAATCTGTTTTTTCTGTGTGATGCTTTCTTTATATTGTGGGTTTCTCAAAGGAAAGGCTACGTGAGACCACTAAAGTCTGCTTTTTCTGTGTAATGCTTTTCTTGCAGAATGACTGGGTGATAATTTTATAAAAGCTCACTAAAAATGGACGGTTACTCACTATCGATGAGTTTCCCTTTCCTTTTTTCAACAATTCAATAGTGTCATATCCTGAACTGCAGCGGAAATTAAGTGTCACCTCTCGTTCTTTATTTCTAAGGCAGGCTGAAGTCCTGCTCTTGCCCCCAGCACCGACACTTTATGGCGTTACTATCTTCCGTAGGAGTGTTATACTTACATCTCTGCAGATTTTTGTTAAGCTATTTCATATTTTCCTTTAATTTGTCTCTACTTCTGCTGATGAAACTAAGCACAGAATTTCCTGCCAGCTCAAAATGAAGCTCAAAGTGCAGTACGAGTCCCCTCAGAACATATGGCAAAAGGCTATAAAAATATTGTGGGTTTCTCAAAGGAAAGGCTACGTGAGACCACTAAAATCTGTTTTTTCTGTGTGATGCTTTCTTTAAGCCTCTTATGTATGACACCTGGGAGGGAAGATGAATCCTGGATGGAAATGAAGACACAAAAAGGCTGGCTTGGTCAGGACACACACACTCTTTTTCAATAGTACACACTTCAAGGACTCTTGGAGAGTATTTCTAGGTGTCTGACACAAGCCAGAGAAAAAAGAAACAAAGACATGAAACTACAACCACTTCCTTCAAAAACGAGGCCCAGGAAAACAAAGCTGCAATTCTTTTCATTTTATTCTATCCTCGCTATGATAATTGCTCCTGAAAAGACACTTCTTGCTCAGTTCTGAGCTTGCGGTTGCTATAGAGATCGCAATTATTCTTTTAAAACTGATTTGGAGTTTGTTTGTGCTCTCATTATCGTAAGATTTCAAACAGTTTAGTGCAAGCCTTTAATGGGAGGAAGTTGGGGTGTGTGTGACCAGTGAGTGGGAATACCTTCTGTACTGGCACGCAGGACATTCTTTAAATTGCAGCATTTAAGTCTCTTAAATGCAAGTCTTTATTCAAAACTTTCGAGGCATTTAGTGGATAATTTACATAGCAAACTGCAATTTTATTGTGGGAGAAGTGGGGGCTGAATTCTCAGAGGAGCATTTAGTGGCAAAGGTCACAGATTTGTATGAGGAGCTTGTTTTTCTGACAAAGAACATATTTATACCAAACACTGGAATATCACTCAGGGATGAAAACCAAAGCAAAACAACAACTTGTGTTTGAGTATTAAAGTGACAGCAAAGACAGATCTTTTCAAATTGTTTTTACCCTGGGATCTCAAAAGCTGAGCGCTTTATTGCCTTTATATAGAGAGGTATATATGTATGTGTATCTATATATACACACACATAAATACACACACAAACTTCATAGCCTATGAGCAGAAAATTAACATTTAGCCTTCATATTGTAGCTGTAACTCCAGGTGAAGCTAAGAGAATGGCTCAAAGGGCACATACATACCTACAGTGAACCACAACGGGTCCAGCGTGGGCAGGATTCAGCGTTTTGACTTTTTTCAGGAATTTCAGCATCCCGATAGGCGTGAAAGGCACCCCGAAATCCGGCCAGCTGGTGAAGTGAAGCTGCGTAACGAGCCTCGGAGCTTTACAACCGTCATGAAGCTGCAGGGAACACACAGATTCCCAGTTTGACATGTCATTTTTCATGCAGAGATTTATAAACAAACTGCTCTGGTTATTTATGACTTCAATTCCTGCAACGCTGAGAGCCTGACTCGAGGATAAGAAGTTTACAGTGTATGGAAAATAAGAACACAGAATAAAATGACTATATATTATTAAAATGCATCTTTCCAGTGAAAACTGGAATAATCCCAGGATAGGGCTCCAAAAAGTAAGACTCACAGTTTGTGTTAATAACAGATCCAATCCTAAATCCTTTTTCACTTATAAAATCCTCGTGACACTTCTTTGAGCAGCCTCAGATGAAACTCACAAAATTCAGTCTAAAGATTCAGGACCTGCATCATCATGAGATGCCAAATGCCTACGAATAATGACAGAGGGGCTGCATCCCCCACGGCCAACTACTGACAGGTCCATGATCTGACCTGCTCTTCCAGAATAAAAGAGAATCATAGAATTGCCCTGGTTGGAAGGGACCTTTCAGATCACCTAGAAGGTGCTACAGAAGCAAGAACCACAGTGCTTAGCATCGTTTCACCTGCCTTCCCTAACCTCTACCTATCCTTGAGGTTAGAAAGTGTATTTATCTCCCAAGCTTCGTCTGTTAGCCAGGGTCAAGGCCATTTCTTTCAACTAGAGAATCATAGAATTGCCCTGGTTGGAAGGAACCTTTCAGATCACCTAGAAGGTACTACAGAAGCAAAGACTGCAGCGCTTGGCGTTGTTTCACCTGCCTTCCCTAACCACTACCTATCCTTGAGGTTAGAAAGTGTATTTATCTCCCAAGCTTCGTCTGTTAGCCAGGGTCAAGGCCATTTCTTTCAACTGGAGAAAGCCAAGTGGTTTTGTAAGGTTGTCTTGTCTCCATTGGTGGATAACCAAGCCCTACAAGCACATACTCAGCAGATGTCAATGAGTGAAAGGCAGACGGGTCCATTCCAGCCCTTCTTCTTACCTGCAGCACGTACATCTCTGTGCCCTCCCTCCCTTCCCATCCTGCTTTCTGAGCACAGCTTCCCTGAGCGTTTTTATCAGCGATGCCTTATCAGCCATCGCGAGCGATACCAAAGTGATCTGCATGCTCAATCAGCAGAGACAGCTTCACCATCCAGGATCTGTAACTAATGCTAAACGAAGCCACCCCTATTTTGAGGGGTTCTCAGCTCTCCATGTAGTTCTCCACAGCCCGTATCACCACCCCATGTCACCATTTGTCACCAGCCCATGTTGTCTTCAGTCTTCAACCGGAATCAGATGGCCATCACACCCCACACACAGCAGCCCTCCCTTCAGGGGGTGTGGATCTCTAGCAATTTGCTCAGACTGCAGAGAAGATCAAAGCCATCCCCACCATCTCCCTTGTGACCTGAAGCTTTAACTTGTACCAGAGACCAAGGACACAACAGAAATCAAGCTGTAACGCTGGTCAACATTGGCCAGCTACTAATCACAGACTAATCCAAATACCCAAATGTATCCAAATTCACTCATTTGTCCCAAAAAAGGTCAAGATGCTGCTCCTGTGCTCCTTCCCTGACAGCCACAAGGAATGAGTTTCTGTGGCCCTGGGCTACAAGCAAGAAGAAAGGGAGCAGAACCTCTTGTGATCCACTGACCTGTAGAGCTTCTCCCCTGCCCGGGCAACACCGTTCTCCATTTGCAAATATATTTAACTGATTTCCCCAAATTTCTTTTAAGCAAAATATTTGACATTGTGACAATTTGCTTTAAAAATTAAAAGGAAGCCGCAGCACTATCGTCACTCACCGACTGGACGCAGAACTTGCGGATGGTGTAGTCCACCAGAACTATGCAATCTTCCACCGACACACGGATGTTTCCGTAGGTCCAGCACCCTTGGTCAGGCCAATACTGATGACATTTTTCCTGTACAAACATACAGTTTTCTGCTTTCCTTGTCAGTCACTCACAAAAAAAAATGAGGTTATTTGAAAACAGCGTACGTGTGTATGAGCATGCAGAGTTTCTCATCTGGCACAGCACAGCTTTAACACTTTGCTTATGGTATTGATGCTTAAATTTAGGCAGAGATGAGAATAGCTTTGAAGTTGGTTTTAACCTAGCCATACCTAAACAGCTTTACTTTTGGGGTTTTTTTGTTGCCTAACTGTGGGGACTGCGATGTCTTGACCTTTTATTTTTAAGCTCTAAGTGCAGTCAGGGAGTAATGCGAGGCAGTCCTCGTTTGAGTCATTAGGAACATCCAGATTTAATAGTTTTGGCTTCTCATGGACTTCTCATGGACCATCTTTGCTGTCTGAGCCTCATCAAGCAATACCACAATTGCAGGAAGATAAAGCAGAAATACCCCCGTGAAGAGGCAGACAAGGAATGTCCATCCTTGTACCTGGGTGAGGTGACAGTATCTCAATTAGCATCTCCTTATTGGGAAAAGTGCACAAAAATAGGTGCAAAGGCCAACTTTCACACAGCAATACAGCACAGCACATCTCACAAATGTGTCCTCATCTCCTTCCCAAAGCCACCTCTTGCTGCTTTTCCCAATATTTCCCCAGGAGCAGGATATGTCACCCTTGGGGCAATGGTGCAAAACCCCCATCTCTCCAGCTCTGGGTGGCTTCTGCCTCCTCCTCGATCCCACAGCCACCAGAGAAACAAGTGCTTTTTTCTCAGGCATAAGTTTTTGAGGACTTTATATGTATTTCAAATAAGGATGTAGAACCCTCCGTGTGGCAAACTGTCCCCCAGGGGAAAAGAAAATATTTAAAAAGCATCTTTTATGTTTCTGATGGCATATTTCCATAATGTTTTAATGGGAATCAAGTTAAATGCTTCACTCTTGCCCTGTGTGTCTCAGCATTCAGGCAGTGCACGCAGAAAGTCTGGCCCAACGGGAGGAGAGGTGCACGAGGAGGAATGGGGGGTCAGGAAGGACCAGCATCACCCTCACAAGAAAGAGGTGTTGGATTTTTAATTGTTATGTGCATGTAACGGATTTTGAAACCTAACCCAAAAATGAATTAAGTTTTTATCTCCATCTCTAACCAAACCCACCCACAAGCACAGCCTTACGCTGCAACAAAACCAAAGCTATGGGCTGTGCAGGACAAAAGTGGCTATCAGAATGTTTTTTCCTTGAGATCTACATGCATAACTTTGAATTTTGGAAATTAAAAGCACATTTATGAGCAGAAACTCAGATGCACTAAGAGGGACTGGAGAAGGAAGTGGTCAGAGAGGTGACTGGCCAGAGGCTGAGCAGCCACCACAGCTTTTTGGAGCACGCTCTCGCCGAGACATCCCAGAGCAAACTGAAAGCTCTTTACCTCTTTTCTCTCTTTCAGGTTGGTTAACATGACGATGACGGCCGACTTCTGCTCCCATATCATCCTCCAGAAGTCATTCACTGTTTCTTGCTTGGGCCCTGCAGACAGCACACAGCTTTGCTCAGGAGGGGTGATGGAGACCAGCGTGAAAACCCCCATCCCCTGCACACGGGGTGTCCCCCCAGGTCTGGGCTTACTCCAGACCGCTCAGGTTTTGAATATACCACATATTTCTTAAAAAAAAAATAATCATATTTTCTTTTACACAATCACATGCACAGCTTTGCTCAGGAGGGGTGATGGAGACCCCCTGCACATGGGGTGCCCACCTGGGTCTGGGCTCACTCCAGACCACTCAGGTTTTGAATATACCACATATTTTTTTTAAAAAAAAATATCATATTTTCTTTTACACAATCACATGGACTCCAATCTACACTTCTAGCAGGTACCTCCTCTCAAAATATCAGTAATGCTCTTTTAAGCGGGCTAATGGCAAGAGCATCCTTTGGGATTTCTCCTTGGCAGGTCTCCCTCACACCGAGGTCCAACATCACCCAAAGGGCAGGGGCAGCTATTGCTGTGTGGCTGAGTAACAAAGTTCCCCCAAATTTTTGACAATACATCATAAGAATTCATATGACATTTATGAATTTGTTTGAAAAAAAATACTAATTTCTGTATCAAAATCACTTTGAAAGACTGTATTATCAGGAGACATCGTTTTTCAACCCCCCAGTAAATAGATGGAAAAAAAAGAGAAACAAAGTGGGGACACAGGAGAGAAGACAACTCTCTTCACTCAGAGCACTGTCTGGGGGTCTAAAGGCTGTGAGTTACCTCAAGCTCACTTTGATTTCATTTAAACTGTAACCTCTAAATCCCGCCCCACATTTAGCCACCGTCTGCAGCTGAAAATAACCTTTAAGACACATCTATAATTAAATACATGTGGCCATCAGGGTAGAGAAATGAGTGAAAATTACCTTGTGCTGCTATGAATTTGTTCTTTTCTTTATAACCCTATGGAAACAAGTATCGTAGCAGTTAAAAGATGAAATGCCAACATACACTAGCCAAAAAAATACTTATTTAACTCAAAATTTGCAGTTTGGCCAACAGTGGCCAACTGTGAACTTACATCTATATATGATGCATTAATGTAGTCTGAAGGTGGGACCCCATCAATTTGGGTCAAAATCACTCTGGAATGATCATCTGGAAGAAAACACATTGTAAGCACATTTGCATGTTAATCAGTCTGAAATAAGTTACTTCCTTGCAAAGTGAGGCTAAGCACACCCTTCCCAAACCGGCTCTCTCTGCTCCAAGTTCTCATCATGAAACCTTCTCTGCAAAGCTCTAACTTTGCTCTCACACCTGAGGTCACCAGGACCGCAGGCTCTACAACACTGGAAACCCAAACTCTGCCATATTTGACTGCCTAAAACTAACCCAAGAGACTAAAATATCCACTCGACAGCGTAATTTGGTAGAACCCCGTGAGAGTGAAGGCACGCAATAACTGCTACAGAAAAACCAAAGGGGAGATGGTCAGTACTAGAGACGTGCCAAAACCAGACAGGTTTTGCACATACAAGATGTGAAAAATCATTTGTGAGCAGTGAAATTATATTATTTGAGTATTTTCAGCAAACGAATACTGTTACCAGCACGCTCAGTGCCAGAGCTAATGATCTGATTTAAAAGAAAAGGTAAAGTCTTACACGGCAGGATGTTAGGATATCTGTTTTTCTCCCTGTTTTCTTCCTTATTGGCCATTTCAAATGTTCCCTGCACATATCCAGTTGTTAATGACTGAAAAAAAAAAGCAAAAGAAAAAGATACAAAAGTCAATGTGTTAGAAAACAGCTAACTCTTGACTACGCACAGCTGAGGGAAAAATCTGCATTTCTACACATTGCATCCAACAGAACTAAACATATTTTATTTTTTTTTTCCCCCGCGATAACTTTGGTCGCTCTATAACAGGAAACCACGTCCTGACAGATTTCGCTGCAGAACACGAGTTCAGCACTTTTGGAAGAAATCAAGTAATTTTTCCACCCGAGATCACAGTTATTTGGGGGATTGTTAAACTCCGAGCCGCTGCTTCAAGCTGCCATCTGCCGCGGTGATTCACGGCGCCGTGACCCAGCCGCGCCGATGCTCCGCTCCCAGCAGCTACTTTTAGAGATAACAGTTGGTTCAATCACATAAATATAGAGTTTGATTGTTAATAGGCTGCTGGCTCAGAATGTTAAATATCAAATGTCTTGCCGAGATCCACAGGTGAGGGCCCGGTGCTGGCGGAAAGGGAGGAAGAAAGTAAGTAAATCCCAATTCTTTTACGCTGAAAGGCGCTGTACGAGCACAAGGCAAATTCTGGGAGTAATCAGCAAGATCTAAGACTGCAGATAAATTTAGTCGAGCTTAAAAAAAAAAATAAAAAATGTCTTGTGAGCAATTGAATGAGAGGAAGAAATAAAGAGGGTGAAGATGAAAACAAGGAGGTGCTTGATGTGGAGCCCCTTCACCGCCGTGGCAGAAGATGCTGAGATAAGAGGGTGAAGATGAAAACAAGGGGGTGCTTGATGTGGAGCCCCTTCACCGCCGTGGCAGAAGGTGCTGAGATACCACCACCACCACCGAGCTTGGGCTGTGGCCAAGAGCCCGGGGCAAAGGGACAGTCAGTAAAGGCATCATCCATCAAGGGACATGACCCAAGGGTCCCACCCTGCACTTTTAGCTGCCCCCTCACTGCAAATGCTCTAAACAAGAACTGAGTTTCATCCAGTTCCTTGTATTGAACTCCTTAAAAAACCTGGCTACCACCACCACCACCGAGCTTGGGCTGTGGCCAAGAGCCCGGGGCAAAGGGACAGTCAGTAAAGGCATCATCCATCAAGGGACATGACCCAAGGGTCCCACCCTGCACTTTTAGCTGCCCCCTCACTGCAAATGCAAAAACAAGAACTGAGTTTCATCCAGTGCCTTGTATTGAACTCCTTAAAAAACCCAGTGTCAGCAGGTTGGATCCCACCGAGGTAAAATCCCAGTGGTTTGGGAACACCCAACCACCTTCTCCCACCCTTCTCCCACCTCCCACAGCCCGGTCTGAATCATGAAGGGGAAGGGAAAAAACCAGTAAGCGACAGTACAGCTGAAAGCAACCATCTCCACTCGCCCGGCAGAGAGCAGGGCTTGGAATTTCCCCTTAAAAGCAGCAATCCGTGTTGTCAGGATGACATCGGGTAAAAGGCAGGGTGTGGGGAGGACTTCTCCACCACCACAGAAGAAACAGCAAGATGTATTTGTGGGTCGGTTTGTTTTTTGGTGTTTTTGGGTTTTTTTGTTTGTTTTTTAAATCTCACTTAAACTTGTGAACGTAAGTAAAAGGAGAGAGAAGGTTAAAAGAGTTGAAGAAGAAGCTGCTTAAGAGTTGAAGAGCAAACTGCTTGATTCGTTATTTAATGAAGACCTTCAATTCCTTATTTGAATGAAGACCGTGTTTTTGCTGATTAAAATCCATTTACAATTTAGAAAACACAGAAACTTAATTTTACGTTTTGCATAGAAAGAAATAATTAGCACTACAAACACGGCTCCTTCAAACTTCAGAAGTCAGGCAACAAATTCCCAATAAACACTCATACAAGCTCTGCACCCTCCTGTGCAAAACGCATGAAAAGTAATTATCTCTGGCAAAATAATCTCTCCCTCCTCTGCTCCTGACTCCCGCAAGGCCCTGACATCTCCCTGGAAACCTCCTAACGTCCCGCTGCCCTGACTGAAGTGGGTTTTGGACCCGGGTGCAAGGACACGGCCCGTTTCGCTGCTCCCACCCGTTTTCGGAGGAAGATGTGATTCATCGAGGATGCGCCTCATCACGTCCTCTCCAGCACCCCCTGAATCACGAGGAGCCCATGACTCCTGGTGGCACTGGGTCATCAACTGCCACCACAGCCTTCTCTGCCCCCACCTCGCAGGGACCCCAACGTCCCTCTGATGCTTCCGAGAGGCTCAACCTACCCCCGCATGAGCACATTTTTTCCTTTGTTTTTTTCCACTGAATGAACTTCAGGGACATCTTAATCATGTCAAAATTAAAATTTCAAAAGCAAAAATCAAAATTAAAAATTAAATTTCTAAAAATTCAAAATTTCAAGAGCAAATTCTTACAGGAAGGCTTTCAAACTTCACTCTGAAAATCAAGGCAATAAGCCAGACATCATGAACTTCAAACATCCGGTTCATTTTGTGTTACAGATGATAGAGATAAGGCTTATTTGGAGGGACCATACAGAAAGGAATACGTTCATGTTTTTAAATTTTTTTTTCTTTCTTTCCTGTGAAGAAAGAACACCTACTTCCTAGTTTTCTGTGCTCACAAAGAAATCAAATTAAAAAAAAAAAAAAGCAACTGAGAACAGGAGCCTCTGCTGTTTTGGTTAGTGTACAAGTGCGACAAGCACAAGGTACTTCTTTAGGGTAATTTAGGCTTACAGGATAAAATCAAGAGTATTGAAGAATACTGTCAGGCACACAAATCTATGAGATCAAAAATAATTTCTATCTGCTGCATGTCTTCATCTGTCAGCACTCGGTTTGTGTTACTTTTCACCAGAAAAATGAACTAAGACCTGACTTCTAACCCTCTATGGCAGGGGGTTGGAACCAGGTGAGCTTTGAGGTCCCTTCCAACCCAAACCAGTCTGTGATTCTTTGGCTGGTGCCCATGTTTGATCACCACTCGCTCACAAGACTCACCACTTTTGGCCTAAATCTGTTTAAAATTCAGAGTGGAGACCCTGTATCTGTGTCCCTGGAGATGTCCAACCTCCGACATGTCAGACCAGGCCACTCAAGGCCAACACTACAGTGGGCAGAGGTGCCCATCAGCTGAGCATCCCCAGCCCTGGGTGCAGTCAGTCTCCACTACGGAGCTCCCATCCATAGAATCTTGGAATGGTTTGGGTTGGAAGGGACCTTAAAGACCATCTCATTGCAACCCTCCTGCCCTGGGCAGGGACACCTCCCACTAGACCAGGTTGCTGAAATCCAACAGCTTTAGACCATCCAAAAACCTCCAGGATTTGTCAGTTACAGCTTCAAGGTGTGGATGCAGGTGATGGGAGGATGGAGCTGAGGATGCTCTGAAGGTGTCTTGGTGCTGAAGGGTCCTGATTTCTCCACCCCTTTCCTTCCAGTGCTGCAGGAACAGACTGCTATTTATCAGCTTTCCTGCTACAATATCCATCACTCTGATTTTCAGCTGTCTCTCACCCTCCCAGGCTTGAGCAAACAGCTCCTACATCCACGCAAGCAGCCGCAGGAGATAAAGCAGGGAAATAAAAACCCACGGACTTTCTGTGCAATCACACCCCGTCACTGCTGGGAGCCCTCACTTCTAGGGACCAGAGCCCAGTTTTCAGAGTTTTGTGCAGACAGAAACTCTCATGCTCACAGCTCGGGTGAAGTAAATGATCCAAGCAAAGCAGATTTTTGAAAATAAAAATAGATGGCTTGTTTCGTTTCTAGCCGTGGAACAAATTAATCAGGAGAGTCAAAATTCACAAGCGCACATCGCATCGAATTAGTTTTCACATGCATTTTGTCGACTTTGATAAATATCTCCGCCACGCTCCCCCCTCTGATAAGGCAAAGAAATGATGTGTTTTAAATATACCATCAAACAAATTGCAGATATAAATATGCTACCAATTAAGAAGGTGACTTAACAGGCTGTCTAATCAATGTGTGCCTCGGCGTTGACAACTCCGTATCTGACATTTAAGCTACTGCTTCTGCTGTTGAGGGAAGTGGAAAGAAACGATGGAAGGATGGAAAAGGCCCCGAAGGCAGCCCAGGGAGGGCAGCCCCAGCTCACCGGGGCTCTCCATAGAAACCAGCTCTGTGAGAGCTCACCACAGCCTGTGGTTACGACCCGTCTGTGCGACCACACGTGACTGGAGCTCGGCTGCCGGGCAGAAAATAAAACCTCCTTCCTGATGGAGGCAACACTTTAAAGAAAAACCCTTAAAGCGGACGTTATTTCGTAGGAACGTACGGGCAGAGGGCACAGGGCGCTGCAAAAAGGGAAGGGATGGGGTGACTGCAAAGTACAAAAGGTCAAATTACCACAAAAAAAAATAATAAAATGAAACCTCACCAGGGCAACATGAAAGGCCACACCGTGTCTTCTCCTCTAAGTACTCCCCATAGAGGTGAGACTCTCAGACTCCCAAAAAACCCCTCCACCACCAAGAAAATCAACGCTAAAGAGATTCATACTCAACTTTTTTCTCCTCCAGCTTTCAGGCAAACACTAAAGAAACTCTCAGACTCCCCAAAAAACCCTCCACCACCAGGAAAATCAACACTAAAGAGATTCATACTCAACTTTTCTCTCCTCCAGCTTTCAGTCAAACACTAAAGGCCTTCTGTAAACGTTAGCATGCCTCAAACAGTTTGTGTGTTATCAATTTGGCATCACAATATCATAAAGCAGTCAATGTTCCAGATTTTGCCCTGATAAAGGGGTACCACGCGTGACAGCACGCGTGTGATTGCGCGAGTGCCGAGGTAACAGCATCACACAAATAATTTTGAAATTAAAGAATTGGAAATTAAAGAATTGGAAATGTTTCCAAGTGTTCTGATTTGCCCCCAGCTTTTCGCCACGCACCCGTCCACTCCCCATGGGAGAACTTACATTAAACTCCTCCCGGAAGAGCTTCCCTTCATCCGCCGATCGCATCCGTATCTCCTCTTCCAGGTTTTCCACCGGAATAGGGAAATACTTCTTTGGGCCCGAGGGAGACCTGCTGAGCAGCATCACCCGTTGCTGTTCTGTCAGTGCAAGGAGAGCAGGTGTTAAAGGCACGTCCAGAGCAGCAGATAACAAGTTATTTCCAACTACAAATTAATTGTTGTGCTGGAAGAGGCCAAAACGTACTTCTTGCATGAGACTTCAATTGGTGATAAAGCTGATTTAAATAAAATAAAAAAACAAAACCACAAGCCAAGTAGTTGCTTTGGAACATAATAAATTCAAGTGGAACCATTATTGGTAAAAATGATGATGTCTGTGTTTGCACTGGATTAAAGTGTGACCACGTTTTATTTAGAAAAGGAGAAGGTTCCTTCTGCTTATAAAGAGCCTACTGCAGGGCAGGGACCACAGGGACAGCTTTTAGCATCCATCACCACAGAGATGCTGCTAGATTATTTCACTTGCCAAGAGGAAATAATAATAAAAAAAGAAATCTTTAACTTGGGAGACAACAGAAACTCTGCACCAAGATTGCTCAGGGAGCCGTGATCAAGGAGGGGAGCAATGGGATGAGGGGGAAGGGTTTTAAACTGAAAGAGGGGAGATTTAGATGAGATCTCAGGAAGAAATTCTTTGCTGTGAGGGTGGTGAGAGCCTGGCCCAGGTTGCCCAGAGAAGCTGTGGCTGCCCCATCCCTGGAGGGGTTCAAGGCCAGGTTGGAGGGGGCTTGGAGCAACCTGGTCTGGGGGGAGGTGTCCCTGCCCAGGGGGTTGGAACTGGATGATCTTTGTGGTCCCTTCCAACCCAAACCATTCTGTGATTCTACAGTTAAGCCCACTGCTTGGTGAAGATAAGTTTTATTTACAACCAAGGCAACCAGAAAGGCAGACCACTTCCCTACGGGGCCATTTCCACCTGAAAATTAAAAACTGACTGGTGGCTTTATGCACTGACTGGTGCATTAACCCTTCATGGCCCAAGGTCACTACCCAGGGCCAGGCCACCACGGGGATCTCTAAACCACCCTCCCCGGGGATCCTGCGCTCAAACCCCGACACAACAGGAAGGTGATGGGTCTGTTTAGAAGTTTGGTTTTCTCTCTGACTGCCACCGCGTCCCCTAACTCACTCTTCAGTTCCTACATAGCCACGTGGGACCAGCACAGAGACGTAATTCTTTTTATCGTTCAGTTTTGCCTCTTTCTTACAGCTAAAATATTTTATAAGCAAGAAAAGAACTGAGCCCCACCACGTTTGCTAGGTTTGGACTAGAGCAACCCACCAGCACAGAGACGTAATTCTTTTTATCGTTAGGTTTTGCCTCGTTGTTACAGCTAAAATAATTTGTAAGCAAGAAAAGAACTGAGCCCCTCCACATTTGCTAGGTTTGAACTGGGCCCCGCAGAGCAACCCACCCAACAGAAATACACCCGGTGGAAAATGTTTTCAACTCCTGAGAGTGTTTTATTTCAATTCCGGTGCCTTTCAACACTCCCCATCTCGTCTCCTTGCTTGTTTCACTTTAGGTTCAGGAACTGGCCCGTGATTTCACAAAGAGCTACAGGCCTTTTGTTTCCCCTTTTAGGAAGAAATATTGCAATACTTTCTCTAAATACAAAGAAACAAACCTAGCTCTCACCTGCCATTCCTAATAAAACAGATATAAAGAGCACAAGAAACATTTACGAAGAAACATTTGCTGTACGGCAACTTAAAGTGAAAAACTGTTTACAAGCAAGAACTGAAAGTTAAGATTGTACATACACATACTTAAATATGGACCTCTTTTAAAAAACTATTTTCTCTTTGATAACAACCCTATAACTTATATTATAAATAAAAAGTAACTATAGCTGAATTCTTAATTAACAGCCAAGCGTGTGCCTACAGAAACAAGACTCAGGCTGAGAAGGGAAGGGAAGCAAATCTCTCCATACCTTGCTCTTCTAAGATCCCATTTGGCATCTTTTTGTCCCCGGAGTTCACCACAGCTTTCCTATGTCTTCTGAACCTGAAAAAAAACCACACCGTGTTACTCCGAGGAGCTACGCTGGAAGGTAGAGTGCATTTTTTTTTCCCCAGGCCAGCCTCTACCAACCATGTAATCCTGGAGAAGCTCTTTCTGTTCATCTTCACGGCGAGAGCCACCACCACCACCGCCGCCGCGGCACCCTCCTCCGACGCTGTGATGGAGGCTCCTGCCTCCCCATAAGTTAACGCCTTTCATTTCCTCATTAGATCATATCGAAACAAGACCCAGCCAGTTCTGTGCGCAAGGGCTCCCCACACACACACACACACACACCCACTCCTACCTGAAAAAATAGCCCGCCAACAGAATGAAAATGATGAAGACCAGGAGCAGAATCAGCATGGAAGTCAGCAGGTCCTTGTGCAAATTGTTCTCCTCTGTAGAGTCTGTGGATTGAACATGAAATATTATAGACAGCAGTTCCCTAAATCTGGTACAGAATCCGGGGTCTCAAAAAATCTGTGCTTCTATGTAATAGAATATGCTTGTACCTACTAAAAGCATCACAAATTATTGAATTATATGCAAAGCTGAAATTGAAACTTCAATTTTTTTTTCATTTTTCTTCCTCCCCCTGCCACCCTCACAGCAATTGTCTTCTGAACCTGAAAAAAAACCACACCGTGTTACTCCGAGGAGCTACGCTGGAAGGTAGAGTGCATTTTTTTTTCCCCAGGCCAGCCTCTACCAACCATGTAATCCTGGAGAAGCTCTTTCTGTTCATCTTCACGGCGAGAGCCACCACCACCACCGCCGCCGCGGCACCCTCCTCCGACGCTGTGATGGAGGCTCCTGCCTCCCCATAAGTTAACGCCTTTCATTTCCTCATTAGATCATATCGAAACAAGACCCAGCCAGTTCTGTGCGCAAGGGCTCCCCACACACACACACACACACACCCACTCCTACCTGAAAAAATAGCCCGCCAACAGAATGAAAATGATGAAGACCAGGAGCAGAATTAGCATGGAAGTCAGCAGGTCCTTGTGCAAATTGTTCTCCTCTGTAGAGTCTGTGGATTGAACATGAAATATTATAGACAGCAGTTCCCTAAATCTGGTACAGAATCCGGGGTCTCAAAAAATCTGTGCTTCTATGTAATAGAATATGCTTGTACCTACTAAAAGCATCACAAATTATTGAATTATATGCAAAGCTGAAATTGAAACTTCAATTTTTTTTTCATTTTTCTTCCTCCCCCTGCCACCCTCACAGCAATGAATTTCTTCCCCAGATCTCATCTCAATCTCCCCTCTCTCAGTTTAAAACAGTTCCCCCTCGTCCTGTGGCTGCCCTCCCTGTGAAGAATCCTTCTCCATCTCTCCTGGAGCCCCTTTAGGGACTGGAAGGGGCTCTGAGGACACCAGTGTACGCTCTTACAAAATTAAAGCAATTTTTGTTGCTGATGGTGTGTTTGTTTTTTTTTCTTTTGAAATTACGTTTACACACTTTTAACCATTCCTACAGTGGTCTTTGAGAGCAGCAGTAATTCTCCTAACACCTCTTGCCTTCACACTTCCCTCAACTCTTTCTTTTTTTGCTTACTTGCACCAAGGGCTTGTTGACGAGATCTTGCCACGAGCCTTGACATAAAATATCACCAAAGCACAAGATTACAGTAAATACATAGGAGTACAGAACACCTGCACTGTGAGAGAAAAGAGCTCGTATTTGAGGGTTGGTTTGTGTCTTGTGAGCAGCTGGAAACTGGATGGTTAAAAAGAGTATTAGGGCACAGGAAAAACTTCCTTTAGAGGCCTATGTGCACCAGGGGCACACAAGGAAAAAAAGGTATCTCAAGTCAACATAATAGTACAAAGAAAGGGAAGGCAATAAAATGCCTGAAACTTGACATTTAAGTGGTATATAAAGATAAAAGCACCAGGCATGATAAAACTGTGATCAGAAACCAAGAAACCATCACTCCACAAGGTTTTACAAAATCGCTGTTGGAAGGAGTGCCTGATGAACGTGCATCACCAGAAACAGCTTCACAATTCCTGCCTGGTATCTAGAAATACCACACTCTGTACAGAAACCAAGCTGTGACAAAGAAATAAACAAAAAAGTCACTTTTTGCCCCTCACAAGCAAAAAGGAGCCACTCTAACCCACTTTTGAAGTTTGTAAGTTTCAGACCGAGTACATCGGAATCCTTCAGGATTGACAATTCCTGCCTGGTATCTAGAAATACCACACTCTGTACAGAAACCAAGCTGTGACAAAGAAATAAACAAAAAAGTCACTTTTTGCCCCTCACAAGCAAAAAGGAGCCACTTTAACCCACTTTAGAAGTTTGTAAGTTTCAGGCTGAGTACATTGGAATCCTCCAGGATTCAGGGGGTTTGTGTTAGTTCTCATCATCAGCTCCGCATCAAGACCCATGAGGGTCAAGACCAGGGGAGGAAAACAGCAAGTTTGAGTCACAAGAGAATTAAAATTTCCCTCAGTTCATTACACAATACAAAACCCCCCGTCTCTTCTGAAGAACTGATGTTTTTGGAGCGTCTTTGGAAAAATGATTGCCGGACAACCACAGAAAGCCACAAGAGAAGTTCAACCTCCTGCCAGGCGACTCTCTACAGTTCTTTAGTTAAGGACAAGCAAACCCAGCAGTGACTGATGCAATTCTCTGCATCAAAGTCTCACCTCTCCTCCTACCATTTCACAAGGAAATTGGGTCAAAAACCACAAAGAGTCCCTTCTTCCTTGTACATGGGCACATCTGTTTTCAAAGCCTTGCAGTGGCTTCACCTCTGCAGAGCGTGTGCGTAAGGCACGGTGTGGTTTTAAATAGTTTCACTTATTACCTGTATTTCCTTCAATATCTGCATTAATAATTTTATTAAGGTGGCCTAAAAATTGTAAGCAAAAGTTATAACTGGGCTGAGGCCACTATGGACTCAGAGGCTGAAAGATCCTTGGCCAACACCACTGCCTACATATGAAGTGGGATTTTAAGGGGAAACTGAAAGACGGGCCTGAAATATTTTTTTAATCAGTGCTAATTCAAAAATTAACAGTGGAAACTTAAGAGTAAATTCACGCAGAAGAGGCAGATGTCCTCTCCATCACATCTCTGCTGCAGTCACTGCCAGTGAATATTTTCCACTGCTCCAACACAAAGAGAGCTGTGGTCCAAACCCACAGGGCTTTCTGTTCACAGCCACACAAAAAAAAAAAAGATCATCCTGAGGGTATTTTTTTTTTAGAAACACGATGAAACAGTGACTTTCATCTTGTCAAGAGAGGAGGATTACTGCCAGGAGGATGGTGGCAACCCCTCGTGCTTCCCCTGCCACCCACCGAGACTGACTCACAGGTTCTTCCCAGCCCCATTCCCAGTCCCGCTGGCCCCGCCGTCGGAGCGGCTCTTGCTGGCAGCCCATCACCATTTCCTCTGGTGTTCCAGTTTCCGTATGTGTCAAAAACAAAACCACCCACCAGAAAAAAAAAAAAAAGGGAACTAACAGCAGCGTATGCACATCAGTAACTGCCTCCCGATCCTCCCTCCGCACTCTCTCCCAAACTTTGGTTTTCTTCATCCCCAAATCAGTTCCTTTGCAAATAGGACCTGAACAGTAAAGTGGCCCATGAATAAAAGTGGGATAAAACACTTTTTTCTCCCTCCACAAAAGCAAATTAACAATGCAAGGTGCGGGTTTGCCCTAGAGAACAAGTCAGGGACCTGAAATTGTTCTGGCAACTGACAAAGAACAGAGATTGTTTACCTGAGAGTGGGAGAAATCCCACAACAGCACGCTCTATTTATTCACAGGTCTTAAATTTACTTTTAAAAAGCAGAGAACGTAACTCTCCACCTCTCCAAAATGAAAAATTAAACTCCTCTCACCCATTATTTGGGTTTGATTTCAAGTGTGGGGGGGGTTCAGGGTGCATCCTTCACCTCTGTTTTCCCTTCAGCAGACACACAAGTGTCCTCTGAAGAGTGCTCGGCCAGATGGGACCACAGAGGCTTTGGGGCAGTGACACGTGCCTCTGGTTTGGGTCAGAACTGTTGTTTCAGACACCCAGCCCTGCAAAGGACCCCGATCTCCTCTGGCATTTATTTTACATGAAGAGCGGCTGTCGTAACATCCTGACACTGACCTTGTTGGTTGCCCAGAGAAGCTGTGGCTGCCCCATCCCTGGAGGGGTTCAAGGCCAGGTTGGAGGGGGCTTGGAGCAACCTGGGCTGGTGGGAGGTGTCCCTGCGCAGGGGGTTGAAACTGGATGATCTTTAAGGTCCCTTCCAACCCAAACCATTCTATGATTCTATGTTAGTTCATAGTACTTTTTGTGCACACAAGCATTTTTGAAATTTCTAGGTTGGGTGAGTAGCAGAGTATTCAAATTACTCTTTGTTGTTGTTGGAAAAACTTTTGCAAGTGCTTAACTTCTGTTCACTCAACTTTCTGTTCAAATTTAACAGCAACTGATTTATTATAATGAAGCCTCTTGCACATCAGTGTGTGCTTTCTGTACACTGGAAACCTCCGAGTTAACTCAACAAAAAGGACAGAACTCTCTTCCTTTCTCAGTTCTCATCAAGCCACCCTGTCCCCTTGAAGTCCAGCTGAACTTGTGCTGCATTGACTGGGCAGGAGAGGTAGACCCAAGTCAACGGGGAAATCAAAGTCCAGGATGGTTTGGGTTGGAAAGGACCATTAAAAGGTCACCTAGTCCAACTCCCAATCCAAAACCACCTATTTCTGAAGTTCTGCTTCTCGAACTACTTCTTGAAATTGTGTATCTACCAGGAAAGTATCCCTTTGGCTTTTAAATACTAAGTAAAATGAGCCTCCTTCCTCAAAACTCAATTTTCTGATAATGCCTCGCTTTCTACATGAAAGAAGCACCACGAGTCCAGTGTGAAAATCCCCAACTCTGGCTCCCGTTCTGGCTATTGTACAGCAAGACTTCATTCTTTCTATACATTGTTCCAGTTATCTTCAAAGACACCCACTAACTTCTTGAAAGTTTAAACCAGCAAGAAGTAGGGCATCAAAAGCTGCACCGTTTTCCCCCTTTCAACCTCCCACTCATCTGATAAATTCATTACCTCCGCACATTAATACATCAGCAGTCGAAGGAAATTGTAAAGAAGGGCATGAAATCCATGAAATATTCATGGGGTAAACACTAAAGAAATTTAAACATTTGGAAAGGACTTAAAAGCTTTACTACTGCAACTCCCAGGCTGCTTTCACATTCAAACTATGTAACAAGTAAAAATACAAGAGGAAGTAAAAGAATCCTGACTATAATTAATACTGGGTAACTAATTAATATTTGAGTAAGAGTATCATGTATAAATAGTCTGTCACACATACTTGATAACCATAAAGTTTTATCTACTTGAACTATACATTTATTTATGCAAATGCAAATAAATAAATACTGGTTTATATTTATTTAATGCAGCTAAATACTCTGAGTAAATGGCAGTGCAATTTTTCCAGTAAATGGCAGTGCAATAAACCCTAGAATATTCTGATTTTAATGAAAGGGAGGTTTCGTGGTAGCAATTTCATGGTACTCTTGTAGGAAGCAAAATGGCAGTAGTGCTGAAAAAAAATGAGCCATACAGGCTAGGTGTCCACGTTTAAAATAAGGATAAACCCAACTCTTTAATTCAGCAAATCTTTTAAAAATCACGTCAGCTAAAATAATGACATGCAGTAAATTATAACTATTCCTCTCAGAATCAAAAGCATCTTATCTTTTTGGATCATTCATCCAATTAGCATGCAAAAGGAGAGCTGGGGGTTTTTTTAGTATCCCTCAGTACCTTTCATATTCTTTTAAAAGGAGTTTTCTTGATATTTCAATCAAAAATCTTTATTTTTGTATTAAAAAAATACTGTATTAGTTCAATGACTATGAAATGTATTTGATAATCCTATTATCTTGGAACTTTCTATACAGCAATACATTTTCAGTGTGGATGTACTTGGGTATCAGACAAAACTCTTCCTTGTTTCTCACTGCAAACTAATGAAGACTTTGATATTTAAGAAAAAACAGTTTAGTCATACTAATAATTTCTAAATCATATCACTGAAATCAAGTTTTAATTTAAAGACAGATGATACGATTACTCTTATGCATATTACCACACTTAAATTCAACACAATTTTGAATTTAGCTTTGAAGACAAACAGCATCTATGGAGAAACTCCCTTTTTACTCATTTTATTAAAATTCTGGGAAGTGATAAAACAAACAAGCTACTTCCCTTTCCCAATTCCCATATTCTTACATATTCAGACCAAGAGTAATAACTTGTTCTTCCCCTGCTCCAGGTGCCAGAAAATGAGCACAGTTCTGGAAACTACTTGACAATATTTCAGCAGAGCCATTTATTACTAATTTTTTACTTAGCTAGATTTTTATTTATATTAGTAATTTATTTATTCTGAAAGATCATCTTGTCCAACCGTCAACCTAATTTTGACAAAAATAAACACCCACACAACAAACAAAAAGCTACACCATCACTAAACCATATCTCCCAGCACTACATCAACACCCTCCTATAAAGACTGGCTGTCAATAACAGTCACCTGAAAACTTACCCAGACTTCACCCCACTGTTTACATGGAACATCAGCGGCTTTATTTCCTTTCAACCAAGTGGAGGGAGCAGTTTTCCCCCTGGAAAACCCCATCTGACATGAGCACGGCATCACGTGCCGCCATCGCCCAGACAGGGAGCCCCTGCCTGACACACTGTGCATGGGGATTCCGAAGGTAGCTAGCTAGGATTATGGAGGATAAGGACAATGTGCAAGTAAAATATATCATCCCATCACAGAACATAATGGTAGAATCAATATCTTAAATTAAAAAAAAACAACAAAACAACAAACCCTTATTTAACTCGCATGAGCCCCTCTCCAGGACTGTGATGCGTTAGGACGCAGCTGTAGGAAGGCTTGAAGCATGAGGAACAAACTTCAAAAATAGAAACGAGAATGAATAAAAGATGCTGTGGTGAAGTGGTGAGCAGAAGATTGTGCTCTCAGGTCTTTGAAAAAGGCTTTTCCATTTTTCACCTGACCTAATCTTGTGCAGGACCCCTGCACCATTGTCCATCTCCTCAAGTCTTGCCTTAGACAGCTCTTATCATTAGCAAACATAGAACACATATCAAGACCGTAGCTGTTCCTGATGTTTACATATGTTCCTCCTCTTGTCTAATTGGTAATTGCTTTATTTCATATTATCTGTGTCCAGGTCCCATCACGTTGGAGATCCACCGTGACAGTTCCTGGGGTGTGGAGCCCAGCCCAGGAGATACCCTGTGCTTCTCCACCTCTCCCACAGCCATCCTCTGCGTTTCCATACATGGGAAAGAGAAAGTAAAACACACAGCACCAGTCATATGGGGACCAAATACAGTCATCACGTGGCAAGATTAGAAGCTCATTAGTGGGGTCAAAGTCCTGGAAAAATATCCAGGACTATGTCATCAGGGGGACCTCACCCAAAGACCCCTTCCCACACCCACTCCCATCCCCGCAAATCAAGGGATGTCCTTACTTGTTGTTGCTGTTGGTTTTGGTAGTTCGGTTCCATTGGGCGGTAAAGCTTGTGCAAATAGAAGACTAACAGAGAGCAGCAGGAGTTCCATCCTGCACCTGAACGAAAACAAAAGCAAAAGGTAAATTTTCAGGTCAAACTACTACTACGTTTTCTCCTCACGTCAGAGCAACACTAAAATAAAACGTTTACTGTACATGACAAAGGTTTTAAAACTTATACTCTCCCATTTCCTTATCATTTAAACTTTCAGTTTTGATGCAGAGGGAAAAGGAAGATCCCAGTTGCGTGCACTAAGAATTCGTTAAGAATATTAAATCCAAGAACAGGACGGTAACAGCCATCGCTCACAGATAAGGACAGAAGTCAGACCAGAAAAGCTACTCTACATCAGGAAGACACAGCAGCTGAGCACACGGAGGCACGGAGTCTGGAAGTCATTTTGATATACAAGAAGAAAGATTAAGTATCAGCAGCTGGAATGTTGAGAATAAATGCAAATCAGAAATTGTGCATGTATTTTTGGTGGGGTTTTTGGTAGTTGCTGCCATAACTGCATGTATTACTCCTTCTACAAAGAGCATGAGGAGGTGAAGCAGGGCCCCGACCAGTCACCAGATGGGCTTCTACCACCAAACAGACCAGTAACAACCACAAAATTTAAATTACTTGTGACAAGCACCTTTTGGAGTTTCCTTACCCTGACCTTGATGTCCTATAGACATACACATGGTGCTTCAGAGCTACCTTCCTTTGGAGACCACATGTGCCACAGCTACGAGTCTACGAGCTATAAGGCATTTCACCAAACCCTTCCAAATACAGAGAATTTCAGGTTTTGTGAGACCAGAAAATAATTTCCAATGTAGAGAAGGTTAGAGAAAAAACATGATGAGAACACGCTGTCTTGAAGACTACAGAGAAATTCAGGGAAATTAATAGTTGTAGATAAATGAGCTTGTCTAGAAATACTCTAGTCTCTCTAAATCAAGGGTTTTGTGGAAAAAATAAATGTTGTTATTAATTTGCTGTACATTTATCCAGTCCCTAATGAACATACTAATTATAAGAGGCTGCCATCTCAGCCATTAGCCAGTCTTGCTTGATTTAAAAATATTTTCTTTGGCATAACACACAAACATTACTTTCTGTAGTTCGCAAATGGCAGAAGACATCCAGATGGTGGCTCTGCACCCATTGCTAAAATTATAACCACCGTAACACTGAAACATCGGGGAGCTTTGTTGTGCAGTGTAATAGACCTAATATTACAATTTCCACAGGATATTATTTGGTGCTGCCTAACAACAGAAACAAAAAATATTACAATTTCCACAGGATATTATTTGGTACTGCCTAACAACAGGAAAAAAAAAATAATCCAGGAACTTGGTAGTCATTAGAGCAACCATAAGAAAATCCTTCCTTTCAATGTAAATTGGTACAATCCCCCAGAAATAAGCTCTGGATAAGCCCAAATGTATAAAAAACTTTTGTAACAACAATTTTCACACCACCCTCACGTGTGTTACTCAGAAGTGAAGTTATTCCCATCCTCTCTGCGATACCTGGGACTAAATTCAAACTCAGCACACACCTGGCATTCTTTGAAAAAAAAGAAACAGACCTAAAAATGAATTTTCTCGTGCTCTGAAGGGATGTCAGTAGTGGGGAGGCTCTCATCAAGTTGGGCACAGGAGCTGCCCAGGAGAGGACACCAGGAACCCCAGCTGCCTCAGGGAGCACACAGAGACTTACAGGAGCACAGCAAGGAATCTCATCTGATATTACAGTTTATTATTTGTTTTCTTTTTCAAGGCTCTGTCAGATACAGAGCAGCCCCTTCCTACAGTTTGGAAGCTCAATGGATCTAGCGGAGGTTTTTTCTTTAATATAATGAGCCAAGAAAAAAATAATAAAAAGTATTATTAACATCAAACTTTATTTTTTTAAATTCCTTTTTATTTTTCCAATCCAGCATCCTACTGACAGATTTACTCATCCAATCCCTTCTACTACTGTTTATAAATTAAGCAGCTTTGATGTCTTACACTAACAGGCTCCACCAGCAGCCAGGTTAACCCCGAATGAGCCATTTTTAGGGTTAGACAACTAATTATGTTTAATAGCTTATTGCAAAATGAATCGGCGTTACCATCACATGCAGATCTGGTCTGACAACTGCCAATCGCTTTAGCCAGGTCTAACTAGATAAAAATCAAAACCATTTATAGTTTTGTACGACAGTCACTGTAGTAAGGGAACCTATTGCTGTCAACCATATCAAGTTTTATACCTGGCCTACCAGCTATCCAGTTTTTTTATCTACTTGGGCTGAGTTAAATATATTTTCTCAGTCTTGTCTATGCATTGGAACAGTTGAGTGAGAAGTTAATATTCAGAAGTTGTAGGGGAAAAAATATGGGCTGTATTTAAAAAAAAAAATAATTAAATAAATCCCCAAATTTAAGACAATCACCTGCTCTAAAAACCTGCAAGTCACTGGGAATTTTTCTGTTCAGCAAAACAAACACCCCCAGTGGAATTTGGTGTAATTTTGGAAGCAATCTGGTAAGGCTACACTGTATTCCGCAGGAAATATAACCCTCCAAAATTTAAAACTTAACAAGTCAGCATTCTAAAGCACCGCTCCACTGGAAGCTCGTAAGACGCAGCAGGAGTTGGTGTAAATTGATGGGAGAGGAAAGGAAGGAAGAGGATTTGGAAATGTGGACCAAAGCCAGAGCAAAAGTGGAATCAATGGGGAAGGGGCTGGCGTTGCCAGGAACGAGGTGCTGAAGGCTGAGCTTTGCCCAGGGTGGAAAGTGTGACAGTGGGTGAAGGCGGCTTAAATCCACCAGCCCTTGGGTTAATCAATCCCGGCGGCTACGGCCAGCTCTTTAAGAAAAAACCAAAAAACAACAAACAAAACATAATTAAGTTGCTGGCAGGCTTCCAAAAGACTGGAAAGTGTAAGGAGCATCAACGTTTCTCACGAATTTACTGTTAGGAGCAGTTATTACAGATCCAAACCCCACGCCCAGACATCTCGTGTCTGTTCTCTGGAATGTGATAAAGAATAACCCCAGTCGATGCCCCACAATTTGATCCGAAGTCAACACATCTAGAGAGATGATGTAAATTCCGGGATCTCTTTTTTGGCCGAAGCACTTTGTATTTCTGCTTGCTAAAGAAAATAAGGATTAAAACTAAGAGCAAATTTAGGTGCCACAGCACGGAGGCTGGTGCAAGAGACTGAGTTTAGCATGACCAAGGACTCCGTATGGCCAAGTCCTCCTCTTCAGGCTGGGGCAAATGGGGAGGAGAACAAGTCCCAACAACGTTAAAACCACTCTGTATTTACGTACATCTCATACAAGACCTCAACTATCTGATTATCTTTTTTAAACCAAAAACCCCACCGCCATAGGCACGGCAGCATTTTCCACCCTCAAGGAAGCGCAATGCCATGATACAGCCTGTTACAATAAAATAAAAAAAAAAGCAAAAAAGCAAAAAATAATAACAGCTCCTCTCCAGAGAGAGCAGGCAGGTAGAAAAGCCCTGCTGAACAAGAAAGGACAACCGTGTACTACAAAAGAAGCCTCTTGTTGATAAAATCAGAAAGGAAAAGATCCGGGTAAGGACACAGACTGTCATTATTACACAGTTTGCTGTCAGGGAACTGCTGTCTGCCTGGGAAAAGAAATAGGGGCTGCTTTCATAACCCTATGGGATACAATGCATTTTTATCTACTTATATCCTACTACCTCCAGCCTTTATTTCACGGCTATAGATGATTAAATGGCTCAAGCACTTAAAACTTTAACTCCACGGAACAATACCTTTTTTAGTGAAGGATTCTTCCCTCTTTCTGATTATCTGGAGCTTTTAAAAAAGTGCCAGAGATTCCTGTTACAACCAGTTCTAAAAGCCTGCATTGTTGGAGATAAATGCCTCTAACGTCCAACAGAGAACTTGATACGACGACACACACACACACAAAAAATTAATAAAATCCTTCACTGTAACGTTGCAGGGCTGACTCAAACCCTGCCGAGGAGGCAGAGCACTTCAGACCCAACCCCATCCAAGAAGGATGGGCTCAGGATCCAGAGGCACATGGAGCCTGTGCACGGCTCTTCCCAGCATCAGGAGTTGCTGCCATCACTTCTTGCACAGCCCAGCTCCCAAAAACCTGAGAAAACCACATTATTCTCAGGGATTGCTAGACTAAATTATTACACGCGCTTAACTTTCTCGTTTGGCTGCACAACCGAATCTTCACCGGACCTGGCAGCTTCAGAATGAAACCTGGGTTTTTAGACAACACGCTAATAACACCTTTGTGGTGCTGCTCCAGCTGCGTGACTTTTTTCAAGGAGCCTGATGCACGACCTACTTCAGAGCAGATTAATTAAAGCAGGAATAAAACAGCGGAACGTCCCATCGAACACACAGGATGGTGGAGAGACTGTTGGGTTTTGGGGTTTTTCCCCCCCAGGCTTTAGCATCACGCAGCTCAGGTCATGCCCCAGATTTTTAGTGCTAAAAAAAAGTAATATTCTGAAGGACAAGCATTATAAATTCAGAAAAAAAAAAAATTAAAAATGAGAGACTTGAAAGCATTGTCACTGTAGGTTGACCAGTGCGTTGGCACCTGGGACGTTGGCCATGCCAAGCGCAAGTGCCTACACAAAAAGACTCATAGTTTGTTTTTTTTTTTAAAAAAAAAAAAAGGAAGGAAGAGGATTTGGAAATGTGGACCAAAGCCAGAAGAAAAGTGGAATCAATGGGGAAGGGGCTGGCGTTGCCAGGAACGAGGTGCTGAAGGCTGAGCTTTGCCCAGGGTGGAAAGTGTGACAGTGGGTGAAGGCGGCTTAAATCCACCGGCCCTTGGGCTGATCAATCCTGGCAGCTACAGTCAGCTCTTTAAAAAAAAAAACACAACAAAAACAACAAACAAAACATAATTAAGTTGCTGGCAGGCTTCCAAAAGACTGGAAAGTGTAAGGAGCATCAACGTTTCTCACGAATTTACTGTTAGGAGCAGTTATTACAGATCCAAACCCCACGCCCAGACATCTCGTGTCTGTT